TGAACCTCAAGAGGTATTATCGCTAAAAGCACTTTAAACAATTGAACTACGTCATGGCTTGATCCCCTTACGGGGTACGTAGGCAGCTCGACCCACGAGTTCAGCCATCATTTTTTATCAAACTTTTATTCCACATCATGACAACATCAATAGGCGAGCTACGCGCGATGACCCTACGTTGTACCATTTCCTTTTCGTCTTTACTCGGAATATTAACTCTCTTTTCAGCAACAATTATAATTGTCCAAACCGAGATCACGAGCTAAAACAGTTCGGACCACCCTCGTCAAACATTTATAAGCTGAAACACAATGCATCCATTGTCAAACTTGAGCTCCGTAGCTCGATCTTGAAGTCAAGGTCACCCACCCTCCCACACCTCGGCTACAAGCGAGCTACAACCCACACTTACCTCACTTCTTCGGGGGGGGGGGGGGGGGGGGGGGGGGGGGGGGAGGAGGAGCCACCTATCCTAGGTGTCTTTCCAAGAAACATAAGGTACACGTTTTTCATTTCGCAAACTAACTAGGTCAGGAGCTCGACTCCACCTCAACAGGCGCGATCGGGGTTACAACTCAATTCCAAGCATAGTCAAGCTCCAGACCTCGAACTAAAAGGCCTCCGCGGTTCACAGTTCGCCTAGTACACCGAGCTCTATCTCTGGATGACAAGAGTAAATCCCGATCCCCTTCTTCACTTCACAGGTGCGGCCAGATTTACAACTCGACTCCAAGCATAGCCAAGCTCCGGACCTCGAATCATCGAGCTCTAACGCGACTCGCAATTCGCCAAGAACGACTGAGCTCTATGTCTGGAAACTAAGAGTAAAATCGAACCCCCTTCTCCATCTCAAAGCCGAAACTGAGAAACTCCTTGTTCAAAGGAAAGCAAACTCCACCTCGGACGCTGAAACTTCATCGCGACGCAGTTCGACCTTCCTAATCAAAAGTCGAGCTAAAAACTTAGCCACTTTTTTCAGAATAAATGGGTCATATTCCACGACCTAATCGTTCTGTCCGGTCTAATAAATCAAGCAACGAGCATCGAGCTCACGACTAGCAAACTGAGCTTCGAGCTCACGACTAGCAAACTGAGCTTCCAGCTCATGACTAGCAAACTGAGCTTCGAGCTCGGTAACCCTAGTCTGTTTCCCTAAGTTACCAAACAACTTAGAAAAACCCTACCTCGAATACGAAAACTCCATCGCGAAGCAGTTCGACCTTCCTTCTTTAATAAGGAAATCAACTTAGTCCAAAGTCTAGCTAAAACACTTAGCTGCATATCAAAGAAGGAATGGATCGCACTTCGATAATAGATCACTTCATCCGATCTGGCGAGCTTACGACCCAAAGAATCAAGCTGCAAGCTTAACGATCTCGGTCCAGCTCTCTTAAGTCAACAAATGACTAGGTAAAAGTTCAACTCGAACAACCGAAAGCAAGAGGTGGAAATAATTTAAAGGCACCAACGCCCGAATTCTTCCAAAATAAAGCCCTTTCGGGCTAAGATAAGTTCGAAACAAAGGATAACAGCCACCAAGTCTTGTTGTTCGAGCTACGATCTTGGAGATCGACCTCGACCGTATGATCTGATTTATTCTTCATCTCTCATAGCCTCGACTGTTGATCCTTAATGATTACTTACCATCATGGCAACAACACTTGGGATACGAAATCTTCTAGAAAAAAACCACTCGCCGCCCATTAAAGCTCGAACTCGTTCCCGTTAATGGGCTGGGGGGCAATTGTTGGAGCAGGATTTGTCACCCCGAATCCGGCCCACTTAAGTCCAACAACAATATCCTAAAACTAAGTTCAGTTGATTGGGCCTCATCCATACGGCCCAGGTCCAATCACTCACAATGGTCCAAACCTGACAATCAATATTCTGTTCGTCGAGGTCGAGCTGCTCGACCTTGTCCCAAAGAATAAGGAAGAATCCAGACCAAGTCTGAGCATATTCTCACCAGTTCAAGCGAGCCCGAGATTTCCGGGAGAAGCTGCTGCACGTGGCCGAGATTTCCGGCTGAAGCTGCTGCACGTGGCCGAGATTTCCGGCTTAAGCTGTTGCACGTGGCCGAGATACGCGCTGGAGGTTGAAGCTCGACGAAACAAGCTATATAAAGGACATAAACTGCCAAGCTTTGGGGGAAGCTTGGACTTGGCCAGGAGACCTTCGGCTTGATCTTTTTACACACTTTTTACACTCGAAAATACTGTAACTGCTCCCAGAGCTCCTTGAGTTCATCTTCTACACTAAAATCTTTGTAACCGTTTCATTCAAACAATTAATATCAAGTCCTTATTTAAGTTAGTGCTAGCTTATATTGTCAATTTGTTCGAGAGAATCTAGCCCTTAATTTTTCTAAGTTTCTTTCCTTACAAAACACATAAATTTCTTAGTGTAGATTTTGGTATCCACACCTATAGGTTATTCGTGGATCCCGCTAGGAAGTCTCGAGCTCGAGGTCGTGTTCGGTTGTTGGTCGAACCGGGGTGGTGTCTGCGAACTCGAGGTGAAGGCCGAGGATCCAAGCCATCTCTGTCGAGGTGGCTCGGTTCCAGGTGGTCTTAAGGGTGGAGATGGGTATCTCGTCTTCGGACAGGGTCCCATTTTGGGTATTCCTGGTGTTGGCACAGGCGGAGATGGATATCTCGTCGCGGGACGAGGTCCCATCTCTGGTATTCATGGAGCCGGAATATCCGTGGTGATTGGTGTCTGGTTCGCCACGGTGGCGAAGTTTGATGGACCTGGAGCACGCAGAGGTGTCGCAAATTGTCCGGGTGGATTACTTGGAGCGGGATCGACGAAAAGTCGAGCTGAGTCCGTGGAGGTGGACTCGCTGCGGATCGAGCTACGGCTTGACGTCTTTCATGTCTTTCTAATCTGATCTCCTGATCTCGTTGTCGATCGATCAGGTGTGTGAGCATTTGGAGTATCTCCGCCGACTCTGATGTGCTCCTAGAAGCTTCAGGTATCGGCGGGGAAACAGGAGCTGCTCGGCTCTGAGATGACGAAGCTGTAGGTGGATTCTCAGATCACACACAGGTTCGAGAGGGAGGCCTCTCGGCTGTTTGTGACTGATTACTCGTCGTACCAGGTGGGGTGACGAGGTTGATCACGATCGGTTCCACACGGCTGGGAACGTTGGAGTTCGTGTTGGTGGGGTCGACGAGGGTCGTAACCCTGGGTTCGTTTTTGCCGGCTGTCTGGTTGACGTTGCCGGTCGGAGTAACTTGATCTGTATAGATCGGAATCGGTGAGACGTTTCCCGAGGTTTGTTGAGTTGAATCCATTTCGATTTCAGCTGGCTTAGGATCTGCTCTCGAGTAAGAGAAATCTATAGATCGTCCTCTCAGACGGCGCCAAAATATTGATACAGAAATCCACACTCAGAAATTTATGTGTTTCTGTAAGGAAAGAACTTTAGGAGAATTAAAGGTTAGATTCTCTCGAACAGATTGACAGTATAAGCTAGCACTAACTGAAATAAAGACTTGATATTAATCGGTTGAATGAAACGGTTACAAAGATTTCGATGAAGAAGATGAACTGAAAAGAGCTCTGGGAGCAGTTACAGAGTTTCGGGAGTAAAAAGTGTCAAAGAATATCAAGCCCAAGGTCCATCCAACTAAGCTGTTTCTCTCCTTTATATAGCTCACCTCGTCGAGCTTCGAACTCCAGCGCGTATCTCGGTCACGTGCAGCAGTTTCAGCCGGAAATCTCGCCATGTGCAGCAGCTTCCTTCGCGATCTTCGGACTCGTTTGAACTGGCGAGAATATGCTCTGACTTGGCTCGGATCCTTCCTCGTTTCTTCGGATTTGATCGAGCTGGAGCTCGACCTCGTCGAACGGAACGTCTTGTTGTTCAGGATTGGATAGTTGAGAGCTGAATGGGCCTGGGTCGTAGGGTCAAAGCCCAGTCAATTTGGCTTAGTTTGGATCTGTCCTTTGGGCTTGAGTGGGCTGGATTTAGGGTGCTAAATCCAGCTCCAACAATCGTCTTCTTTATATAGCTCGCCTTATCAAGCTTCGAGCTCTAACGCATATCTCGGCTACGTACAGCGGCTTCAGCCGAAAATCTCGCCACGTGCAACAACTTCCTCCGTGATTTTCGAACTCGTTTGAACTGCCGAGAATATGCTCTGACTTGGTTCGGATCCTCCCTTGTTTCTCGGAGTTTGGTCGAGCTGGAGCTCGACCTCGTCGAACGGAACGTCTTGTTACTCAAGATTGGATCGTTGAGAACTGAATGGGCCTGGGTTGTAAGATCAAAACCCAGTCAATTTAGTTTAGTTTTAATCTGTCATTTGGACTTAAGTAGACCGGATTTATGATGCTAAATCCAGCTCCAACATAAACTATTAATTATTATCTATATATAATTATATTTCTTTAAAATAATTTAAGGTGGGGGTATTGGATGATTGATTTTAAGAGAATACAAAAGAATTAGAAAACAATTGATTTTGAAGTAATTTAAAGTTTTTGTTGAGAATTTAAATCAATTCTATCAAAATGACAGCAAAAATGGTAAGAATTGGTTTTTTACAAAATTTCATTGTAATTCTATTAAATTTCTTTAAAATGACAATAGTATAAGAAGAGCACTAAAATTAAATAACACCAGCAATTAATGGAATTAGGAAATCACTACATTGAATAACACTAAAATTTAAAGTAATTTTAAAGAATGATTTCAAATATTGAATCCAATAACACATAAATTTAAAAGAATTTATGAAATACAATATTGAATAACAATGGAATGTAATAGAAAACCTAATTCCTTCTAATTCAATTAAATACCTCCCCCTAAATTATTTTTAAAACAATGACGTCACAGTCCCATCGTACCCAAGAATCGGTAAACCTCAATTTAAGAAAATGGAAATAAATAATCAAAATTAACAGAGAAACTTTTCTTATGCACTTGGTTTTGCCACGTGGTCCCTCCATTGCCGTTACCTTCCAGTGAAATACCAAACACTTGCACTCAGAGGAAGAGAGCCATTGCTTCTTCATCATCAACACCACAATCAACCTCAAGAACTCTCTCTCTCTCTCCATGGAAGCAGCAGTGCCACGCCTCGTCTACTGTGGACCGGAGCCAATTCGATTCTCCGTCTTCCCCCGCCGCTCCTTCGTCTCCGGTATTCCTCACCGTCGTCGATCCCGACGGATTCTAGCCGTCGCTACTGATCCCAAACCTACGCAGACTGGTCCACCCAAGTCCACCACTGTAAACGGATCTTCTACATCCTTTTCGTCAAAAGTAGTCAACAACAATGTTTCCACGGTTAAGATTCTACTTCTTCACAATCCGTGAATTTCCCGATTTTGTGGTTGGATTGAACAAGAAATGTTGAGATTCGGATTGAGAAATTCTAACCCAAATTTTGGATTTATGGCCAACAGAGAATCAACGATGTATCAAAAGAGATTAAAAGAGTGAGGGCTCAAATGGAGCAAGACGAACAATTGTCTGTGTTGATGAGAGGACTTCGTGGGCAGAATCTGAAGGATTCAGTCTTCGCCGATGATAATATTCAGCTAAGGCTTGTCGAGGTAAAACTCTTATTCAGGTAGATTTTTTTATAGCATTTGAACTAAGCATTGTGTAATGTTTCATTTCTTCTTTGCAGACTGGTGAAAGCAGTGAGTTTTTGCCTTTGGTATATGATCCAGCTACCATTTCTGCTTACTGGGGGAAACGGCCACGAGCCGTCGCTAGTCGAGTTGTGCAATTACTTTCAGTGGCAGGCGGGTTTCTCTCGCGTCTTGCAGGGGATATCATAAACAAGAAAGTCAAAGAGGTAAATCTTCTGGTTACTGCTTATTATCATAGATGGAAGCTAGAGCAGAAAAAGATACTTGTGGCTTGCAGATTCTGCTCATATATGTAGACTCCTTTAGGTAGGATTGAGTGAATGAACAGTGTGAATAATTGGCAGAGTCTCTATGTGATCAACATTAGTTTGTTTAGCGATAGATATTGCCTTATAGTATGCAGTTTGAGTCTCATTTTCCATCTGTCATTATCATTTTCAGAATGAGGTTTCTAGGGCAATTGAATTGAGGGAAATAGTTACTTCCTTGGGTCCAGCGTATATTAAACTTGGGCAAGCTTTGAGTATTCGACCAGATATCTTGTCCCCTGCTGCAATGACAGAACTACAGAAGCTTTGTGACAAGGTATAATTTGTCGTTCCCTTCATTCATATAATCTAAATCTAACCATTATATTTTTCTTGTCTTACCATGGCTAATTGTGTGTGTTTTATGTTTATGTGTAGGTCCCTTCATTTCCTGATGATGTAGCAATGGCTCTTATCGAGGAGGAGCTTGGGAAGCCATGGTTCGACGTTTACTCAGAGCTCTCTCCTTCTCCAATCGCTGCCGGTAAATTATGTTGATCATGTTGTTCTTATTCCCAACTTATCATTTTAGTAGACTCAATGTTCAGGTGATTTAATCTTATTATTTTGTGTTTTTTTAGCATCCCTGGGACAAGTGTACAAGGGAAGATTGAAGGAAAACGGGGATCTAGTGGCAGTGAAAGTACAGAGGCCTTTTGTTCTTGAGACTGTGACTGTTGACTTGTTTGTGATACGGAATTTGGGTCTGTTTTTGCGGAAGTTCCCTCAGGCAAGGTTTCGTCCGGCGGCTCAGCTTATGCACTTATTGTTCTCTTTCACCATTCACCTTGATGAATTTCGACCTCTTTTGGGGATTTTCGCGCAGGTGTCAGTAGATGTTGTTGGACTGGTTGATGAATGGGCTGCTCGCTTTTTTGAGGAGCTGGATTATGTTAACGAGGGAGAAAATGGTACATATTTTGCAGAAATGATGAAGAAAGATCTCCCACAAGTACGCTTCATTAACTTTTTCTATTAGGCACTTCCTTTTGCTCTATACATGAGGCGTCCGATTGAAAATTTGTATTTGACAAGTACTTATGTGGGTTGCATTCGTGGAATTGCCGTTGGTTTCAGGTTGTTGTGCCAAAAACATACCAAAAGTACACGTCAAGGAAGGTTCTTACAACGTCATGGATTGATGGCGAAAAACTGTCACAAAGTATTGAGAGTGACGTCGGTGAACTTGTAAACGTTGGGGTTATTTGTTACCTAAAGCAGGTAACACTTCCTGCGTACTTGTTACGGAGGAATAGCATTTGTTACCTTAAATCAGGTGACAAGATAATATGCATTTACCCTCTTGTTAACACTGATACTGTTTTGTGCTTCAGTTGCTTGATACTGGATTTTTCCATGCCGACCCTCATCCTGGAAATATGATTCGTACCCCAGACGGGAAGCTTGCCATCCTCGATTTTGGTAACGATTCTTATTAATATTATCTAAAAAATATGCAATTGGTTACATTGTTACAGTCAATGTGGTGTGTGAGAGAACCCTTTTGTTGACATCTCATGTTTGTCTGTTCATTGACAGGTCTTGTTACGAAATTGACTGATGATCAGAAGTACGGAATGATTGAAGCCATTGCACACTTAATCCACCGAGATTATGATGCCATTGTGAAAGATTTTGTCAAGCTTGGTTTCATCCCTGATGGAGTCAATCTGGCGCCAATTCTACCTGTCCTGGCCAAGGTTTTTGATCAGGCACTCGAAGGTGGCGGAGCTAAAAACATCAACTTTCAGGAGTTGGCAGCAGATTTAGCACAGATCACTTTTGACTATCCATTCAGAATTCCACCTTACTTCGCCCTTATAATTAGAGCAATTGGTGTGCTCGAAGGGATAGCTCTCGTAGGGAATCCTGAATTTGCTATTGTCGACGAGGCTTATCCCTATATCGCTCAGGTATTTTTCATAAATTCTGTAACTGTTAGAGAAGTCTTTCAATGAATATAACAAAACACTGATGAGTAATGTCTTCAACATGATTTTAGAGGCTCCTGACTGATGAATCACCTCGCCTGAGGGAAGCTTTACGCTACACAATATACGGGAAAACTGGCGTTTTTGATGCTGAAAGATTCATCGACGTGATGCAAGCCTTTGAGACTTTCATTACAGCAGCCAAAAGTGGAGGAGGGGAAGATATGAATGGAGGCATGGCTGAGCTGGCTCTTATGCAAAACCAGACAAGCGGTCTGGTCTCTATGTTTCCAGCCAGTGCATCCCAACCGAACCAGCCAGCTCAAACGAGAGTCGCTTTGTCTTTTCTGCTTTCCGAGAAAGGAAACTTCTTCCGCGAGTTTCTACTCGATGAGGTAAACTAATCATCATCTAACCACTTTTTTCCATCTTCTCTACAAGCTCACAGTTGCTTATTCATGGCGTCCTGAGTTATGACAATTGTTGTGATTATCCACTCAAAACAGATAGTCAAAGGCATAGATGCAATCACAAGAGAACAGCTGGTGCAAGCAATGGCGGTCTTCGGGTTCAGAAACGCGACGCCAATCTTCGGTATGGTACCAACGTTGGGACCCTTCAAGCCTGCAGCACTTCTTCCATCTGTAACAGAAGAAGACAAAGTTATCTTAAACAATGTTCAGAAAGTAATCGAGTTCCTTACCGCAAGAAGCTCCATGTCGAATAATCCTGATCAGGTAAAAGACATTCAGAAAATCTCTCTGAACCCTTAATCTGATTAATAAGAAATCAATCTCTCTGAAGTATCGAGTTTTTGTCAAATATCATAAATCAGGTCGTAGATGTATCTCAAGTGGTTCGTGAACTGCTTCCTGTGTTGCCTGGAATCTCTGCGACAGTACTGCCAGAGATTATGAGCCGGCTTGGGTCACGAGTGATGGCGAGAATAGTTCGGGATACGTTTTTGTAAATACTTTGTTGTATACACTTTTGCATATAAGTTGCATTTATCATAAGTACCAATATATAGAAATATATAGCTGAGTAAGATTGTTTGTTCACCGACACCATTAACACTTATACTTTCCTCCTTGCTGTAATAACAACATATATGAGAAATGGAACAATGACTTTGCCTTCCCACGTGGTCGTGTTGGAGATCTATAAATTTGATACGCATACGCAATGGAAGAGTTTATTGAATAATATTCTAAAATACAAGGTCACATTACATAACAAGGCTTATTTAAAACAGATGCTGTTTTCAGTCACCGTTAAAATATGTATAATGCAAAAAGAAAGAGCTGATTCAGAGTATTTGATACCGAGGCGTTTCTCAAGAAAAGAGTGGCAAAGATTGATCTCCTGAAGCATACGATATGATACGCTTTTTAAGCGGCGAAATGTAGTGAGCACCGTGAAACGCAGCCGCTCTGAACGCATTCAGCGGTCCGAAATTCACCGAGTACATCTTCTGGATCCCGTCTAAAACCGCCATCATCGCTATATTCGCAGGTTTCCTCTCCGCTTCATATCGTTTGAGCAGATTCGTCTGCCAAAACACAATCATCATCAATAGCAAGTAAACAATAAGTAAAAAATGGTTTAAGACTTAGAAAAATCAAAAGCGTACCTCTCCTATATCAGTACCAAGAGCAATACCCTCAGCGATAGCTTTAGAAAGAGCAGACGCATCTGCAAACCCAAGATTAACTCCTTGACCAGCCAACGGATGAACAGTATGAGCCGAGTCACCGACAAGAGCCACACGCTTCGACACATAGTCTTTCGCATGCTTTAAAGACAAAGGAAACATCATTCTCTCCGAAGAAAGCTTCACAACCTTTGGTGGAGTCTCAAACCTCTCCTTACCAGATATACTCACATCTCCTGTAAGCCAAGAGAGACTTCCCGCTGAACTCGCTGTCTCTGGATGTGGACCATAACCATAATCCAGAGCGTCGTTCACAGCTCTGATAAACTCATCCTCGCTCATCGACTTGCGCTCTGAGGCCTCTGTTGGATCCATAGTCCATACTATGTTGCTGAACTTGTCGCCGATGGGAAGAAGAGCGATGGGGCCATTAGGTAAGAACCGTTGCCACGCCGTGAAGTTTTCGACAGTGTGTTCGACTGTGCAGATGATAGCGTTCTGTGAGTAGTTCCATCCAGTTGTTTTGATCCCTGCTAACTCCCTTACTCGCGACTTAGACCCATCGGCGCCTACCACAAGTTTTGCATAGACGTTGTTTCCATCGCTTAGCTCAAGCTTAGCAAGGCGTCCTCGCATAAACAAATCTGTTGTGGATGGTACTTCACCGAGACCAGTCAACGAAGAGCTAGGTAACATATCCATTGAGTTTAACCTTGCTGGATAAACAGTCTTATTGAGATCTGATTCCTGCAAATACCACCAAGATCTCTTGTATAAGAAAAGTAAAAACATGATTGATAATCTGAGTAAGAAATTGAGCAAGAGAGGCTATTAAAACTTATCCTAGATGATGGATAAAACTTGGAAGGACCCGAGAAAGTAAAGTACCTGGACACAAGATAGCTGAGAACTCTGGAGAACTTTATTCTCCACAACACACCTGGATCATACCAAGAATGATTACAGAGCTATTAACATCATCAAGGATGCAGATATATTATAGCAAAATCTTTACCCCAAAATATCTTGATCGACATCTTTAGCATTGTATCTTGTATATCCAAGGCCCGTGTAGTCCCAGACCTAAAACACCCAAAGATAACAGATAACTTCGTTTACGTCTAGCAAATGGTTATCAGTATATGCAGATCATTCACAGAGTGAATCATACTTAGATTTGATATAAAGTTTTTCTTTTAAGGTTAGCTTCAAACAAAGGAACGGACAGTTTTATACTAACATGTAAAGAGGCAAGACCCAAACGGCAGAAAATTCAAACCAATGAATAGCCAAGATCAAAAAAATATGTTCCACCAGAATCAAAGCAACAAACCATAGTCATATATGTATGGTCATGCAGAGAAAAACAACAAAATTCCCCAGGGTTCTCATTTGACGCAGTTAAAGATTTCAGCAGCCATAATATAAAAGGCTCGGAAGGAATGTAAGAAATTTAATAACCATTACCTGCATTTTATCAAAATACGCATGTCGCTGTTCTTCAATGTATTTCCAGGCACCAATATCTGCATGATTCAAACCAAATACATGACTCCAAAGTTGTAACTATACAGGAAATTCACGGACTGAATCAGGACAGAGACTAGCATCTTAAACTTAAATCAACCTTATGCTACAATTTGGAAGCTCTTCTGTTAGCCAACTCTAGAATGTTCATGAAAGAATAATGAGCAGAAACTGTGGGAAGAAACGTAGTGTTAGTGTTTTACCTTTGAGGAAAGATATTGTTGCAGGTGTGACTGTACTGACTCTTGGATCAGGCTGCTTCCCTTTCTCTATAATGTTTTTTCTCCCCAAAAGAGGATTATTGTCAATAATAGCGACACTCAAGTGCTTTGTCAATGGCTTGCTTGCTGAAAGAATAACACAACAACCATGTCGTCAATTCAATAACGATTTCTTTAGTCGTCTGAACATAAATCACCCGTTTAATCGAGAAAAGTTCAATACTAGCAGCCATTTGCTTACCTAATGAAGCAGCTAAAGCGATTCCAACCATTCCACCACCGACAATAGCAATGTCGTGTTGCGTACTATTGTCAATGGAATTACTTTTCGCATTGCTCTCCTAAATCATTTAAACAAATGTCACTATAACTTCTACAAAAACATACTTCAACATCCATTTCGGAGATGCTTTAATAATTATCCAATTAAGAAAGATATCAAAGCTATCCAACAAAATAAGTACTCGTGGCCCAAACATGATGAACAATTACAAGACTTTGGATGTCGATATCCACAACAAGAATATGCAAAGTGTCCTTCCTGATCCTTCCAAGACAAGAGATATGATAATTTCATAAGGAGATAAAAGGGGATCTTACATTGGAACCAGAAGTAGAGACCTTGTGTGTCGCATCAGTTGAACAAGTCCTCAGCAAGATCCTTGTCACATAGACATTTGTACTAAGTTTCCTTGCAAGCACCCTGTCCCAGAGGCCAGTTACATCAGAAATAGCATGGTTTCATAAGTGCAACAAGCATCACATAATCTTCTGTATTATCCAAGTAAGGCTGGATCATAGAACATCGAAAACTAAACTTTCGAAGCCAAATAGCTGACTTTCTAAACTGAACAAAACACAAGTAATCTATATAAAAAAAACCAATTTTTCTACGCAAGTTAAGAGATTGCTGAATTTATCAAGTCGCCAGAAACATGATCACCGAAAAATCGTACAAATTGGGAAACGGATGGATAAAATCAGAGAAATGGAGGATGAAGAAAGAGCGAAAACGCGAACCTGTTCATGGTATTGGCAGCTTGAGACAGAAATGATAACGCCGTATGTGCACAAAAAGCTCAGCAATTCGACCAACAAAAAGGAGAGAAATCGGGTCGACCCGTGAAGCCCTCTTCAACCTTCTCCGTTTGTGATTCCCGGCTCTTAAGTCTTAACTGGAATATCAGGAACAGGAGATCATGTAGAAAGCTTGTCGGAGAGAGTGTCGCCGGCAAGTTTAATTTAGGGATTTCGGTCAGCAAATTCGGGTCGGGTTTGGATCACGGGTATTATTTGTGGTTATTGGTTTAAAATCGAAACTTCGGTTCACTATTAGACCGGTTTAAACTTTAAAGGCTTGTTTTCAGGTCATCATCAACAAAAACACACACAGTTGACTAATATGGAAAACACTTAAAACAGATGCAAAAGATGGAGAATCTTACATCACACTTAATCAAAACGGGAATAAAACAAATCGAAAGGAAACAGAACAATCTCAATTTTATGAAGTTATGTTACAAAAGAATGATGTGGAAAAAGAATCGAAGTTGAATCAAATCGCATCCCCATGAGAAATTTTATGCCTTTCTCTCTTTGCAGAATGCAAAGTGAGTCGCTTCAATCCAAAAAAAAAAAAAAAAGCATAAGCCTTTCTTCAATGCGTTCTTCATGATCAATCTGTGTAGGTTAGTGTGTACTTAAGTGTGTTCCCAAGACTTAGGCGTGATTTTAGCTAACTTGCTCTGCTCTTTTACCTCTTTTGGGTTTATGTTTCTCTTGTTTCTTTTTCTTTGATTCAAGACTAACCCAAGTATACCCTGCAGGTATAGCAAATGGGTCTTGCATAGTTTTGGATTTACTACTCGTACCATCCTTGTTTGCTCTAGACTTACGAAACCACGAGGCCGATCCGTTGGAGAAGTCAGTAGTTGCAGTAGCTGGACTCTCATAGCCACCAGAAGAAGAACCGGTCGGGCTCGAAGGAGGCGTCTTAAACTCATCTGCAGGCTCAAGTTCTTCAAACTTCGTGAAAGTCACAAGAACCTTAATCGTCGGTACCACTGGAATAGCAACCTACAAACAATTCACAAAACAATCTCAATTCAAAAAAGTGATCTTGAAGAACATCAGAGACACATCAAAACAGTCTCTTAAAGACATACATACCTTGACTGGAAATGTTCCAGTGGGAAGTTTTGTGGTGAGAAGCTCTCTAAGACGACGAATGGCTTTAACTTTGTTTGCGAGTATGTCAAGCAAAGGAAGAAGCTCTTCTGTTTGTAATGGGAAGTTCGGAGATAGCCAGAGAACAGGACGTAGACCTTTCTTGTATTCGCTCTCTTGGTGACTCGTCGTCCTACTCGAAACCATTGCTCTCGGCTTTCTGGTATACTCATTATCCACCGAGTGTCTCCCTGGTTTTATCTGATTAGAGTCTCCAAGAAGATTACTCACTTTCTCATTCACACAAAGAGAGCTTCTTGGAGGCGCGTACTGAATCTGCTTCTCTTGTTTAACACTACTCGTCTCTTTCCTTCTCCATCCTCCTAACCATCCTTTCTTCTCCGGTTTCTTGCTACACGGACTCAAATCCACGGGAGAAGCCTCGATATAACCATTCTCACCACTGACATTAGGGAACTCCGGTAAATCCAGCTTAAGAGCAGCTTCTAGCTGCTTCTGCTCTTCATCCGTAAGAACATCACAGCAAAGATCATCATCGTTGTTGTCTTTATCAGCCGATGATGAACCAGGAACCTTTCTCGACTTAATGCTAACAACGACATTGTTCATCTCGTAGACCTTAGCTTTCCAAGGACCAACCATCTCACTCTTCTCCTGCCTCCTCCAATTCATCTGCGGGTTCAAAACCGCTTGCGTCACATCGATCCCGGGTCTAAAGATACTGCTTTTACACATCCCAGCCACTTCTTTCCTGACCTCTTCCTCAGATGCAAACCCACAAGCACCGTCCAAGGCATTCACCACTTCTTTATCCTTATGGTTCACCATGTAAAGCCCTCCACGAGCAACCTCGCCATCCTCAGACCCATCACCAAGAAACAGTATACTCTGATCAGACCTCTGAATCTTGAACCCATCGAAACCAGCCATTGTCATATCAGCTCTCAGATTCGAACCCACTTTCCAGACTTTATAAGTATCAGAAGGAGCAACCTTTGAGACAAAAGGCAACACAGAGCTCTCAAAGTGAAAACTCATCTCCAAGTAGAAATCTTTCATCTTGCTCATCGTTGCAATCAAACGAGGCAGCCTCCTACACCATTTAGCCCAAGCTAGAGGCTGATAATGCCTCACGATTACCATCGCTATCGTCTCTTGCCTACTGCAAACTGCTTCCTGCAATGCGTTCCATCCATCTTCGTTCTGCAGAGTCCAATCAGATCCAGCCACCATCAGCATCTCTGCTGCTTTTGTATCGCAGAGCTTCACCGCTAAATGTAGCGGCGTGTCTCGGTTTGGGACGTCTCTTCTGTCGATTACGGCGGAGATGGCGTCGGAATTCGCTTCCTCGGCTAACGAAGCTGCTTCTGACTGGATCTCTGAAGGGTCTCGTGGCTTTGGCAGAGATGATAGTATTGATTTGAGAGTGGCGTAGTCTCTTGAAGCTACGGCTCTGTGCACAGGGCTGTGTATGTACTTGGAAACATCAAGGTTCTCCATTTTGACCCTATATTCAGATCAGAATCTCGAATTTCAGAAAATGGGATCAAAAATCTCAACCTAATTTTTCGATTTTGTAGTCAAAGGTAAGAACGATTTAGTCAAAATTCGAGGGTTCCCCATGGTAGAAACAGCTAAACCCTAATCGGAATCTCGAGTAGAATCAAAATCGACTGAAGGAAAAGAAAAAAGAATCCGACTTTATAGAGAAACTAAAATTGTGGGTCCGAATCGAGAAATCGGAAGTTTCTAACCTTTCTTTGTTAACTTCTAACTTTCTCCGCAAGAAAGAAAAGATGACGTCTTTACTCCATAGCTTGCAGCATTTTCTTCTCTTTTACTCTTTCTGTATCACCGTCATCTCTAATCTTCTTCTCTTCTCTGTATTGTTTCTCTAAAGGAGAGAAGAAGACAACTATTAAAAAAACAATAGAGAGATTCTTGTGATCTAATACAGATCAGAGGACACGAGAAAGACGCATGTGGGCGCGTGAAAGAAAAAAAAACACAGAGAGGAGAAAGAGGAAAGAAAAAATCAATCTCGAGATTGTGTCTTCGGAGAAATGAATAAAGAAAGGAGCGATTGGATCAAGTAGAAATAGGAAAGGAAATCAAGAACAAACAAAATTTGAGGAGAAAATTTGAAACGGGAGTAACTAATTGAGTAATTTCTTCAATATTTTTTTAACAAAATTTGAAAAGGGAGAGAAAATTAAGCAATGAGATAGGGGAATCAGTCATGAAGAAGATGTGCAATGTGCTTAGTGGGAGGGAAGCAAACAATCCAAAGACACATTGACATTGAGAATTGTTTGAAAAAACAAGATTTAGGAATTAGAAAAAATCAATTAAAATAAGAAAAAAATATGATAAAAGTAAAATCAAATAGAAGAGCACATATTTGTAGATTATTAAGATGGCATGATCAAATGAATGATAAAAATAGCAAAGTATGAAAAATAAAAATGAGATGTGTGGCTTAGTAGAAGAATATGCAATACATGTAATGTATATTAAACTATTTTTTGGATTTTATGAACAAATTTCCAAACATATACCTTAATATATAATAATAGAAATACCTTAAAATATTACTAAAATAAGCTTTTGTTCCAAAAACATCATCACTAAATTTTTTTCCCAAACATACCACAAATAACATTTGTTTCAAAAATAGCATAAACTTTAAAAATAACTAGGTAATAATCTGCACCATGTGCGTGATAAAATAATAATTATTTATTTAATATAGTATAATTTTAAAATCATATAACAAAATACAATTGATTTTATATGAGTTATTTATACAAATATGATGTAATATTGATAAAATAATTTTTTTCTTTATTTTATGAATTATATAGTAATTTAATTCTAATGTAAATTAGTTTAAAAATTAAATATATATGCGCAATCTAGATAAAAATACGAAGTCTCTCTTTATATTTTCTATAACCCATGATTAATAACATGATCTTAAAATTTAAAAAAATAGAGGGAATATATTTTGATTAAACTATTAAGTATCTAATGTGTTATGATAATAATAAAAAATATTTACTACTTCCTATGTTTTATAATATTAGTTTTTTTTAAGTTTTGTTTTGTTTCACAATATAGTTGTTTTCTTTTTTTTTACTACTTCCTAAGAATACTATGTGACCGATTATATTTTTTAACTTTTCATAATTAGTTAAATTATATTTACTTTATATAATAAATGATTACGTTTTTAAAAAAAAAGTTGTTTTTTAATCTTTGTGCTTTGATGCACAACAACTTATATTCTGAAATAGAGAGTATTAAAATTGTAAAAATAAAATTTGATTATAAGATTTTATAATCGATTTTAATATTTCTTATACGAATGTAAATACATATTTGGATTGATCCGCAAAAAATTTAGTCATAAGAATATTAACTTTTAAGAAAAAAAAATTACTGTCAAATTTATTTTAAATACTAAATATACATAAGGATTATGTAAAAATAGATTATATATTTTTTTTAATAAATTATCTAAAATTGTATATAACTGAATCAGTACTTATACATTCTTAATTTTTTGATTCAATAAAATATTTTTAATATCAAAAAGTTTAATAAAATTATCATATAATATCTTTACAAAAATATTTTAATTTTTTTACCAAGTTATTTTGTTGTATAAATTAAACATTTATGATATTTAACTTTTTAATCAAATAAAATATTTATAATATTATATTCTATTAACATATTCAACTATTTTTTTATAGTTCAACTTTTTATTAAAATTTTGTACTTATTATAAAGTTTAAATATTTATATTATTTGGTTAATTTATATGGTTCTAAAACCTTATGAAACCAAAAATAATTATAATAATAATATCTATTAAATTAAGCTTCCTGTTTTTTTTATTATTTGTGTATTTTTATATTGATTTATGAATCATTTATCTACACATCTTTATTTTTAATTTTAGTCTTTTAAAACATACTTCTATTTATTAATCATTTGAGTAATTTATATTTGTTTTATGAAATTCGAATTATAACACAGAAAAAAAATATATATATATATATTACTATATTACTATATGAATTATGAATGATGTGATGATTTATTTTTCTACAAAAATAAGAGATAAAATATAGTATTTAAAAAAATAATTAATATGATATATTTTTGGTAAGAAATGGAAAAAGAGAATATTTTGATGAATCATCATCAATATAATTGATATAAACTAATGTAACCAAATTAATGTGAGTGGAATAACATATAATTAATCTAGTAACATAAGTCTATTTTTATAACTTTGCTGAAAATAATTCTGGTGATGACACATCAGCAAAATGGCACCACTGTAATATTTTACAAAATTAAAGTTATTATTTAAAAATGCTTCTTTTTTAATATATAGAGGAATTTAAGGGTTTATAATTTAAATATTTGAATTTAATTATATTTTACATATTATTAAAAAATTATATTTAATTTTAGGAAAAATATCTATGTATATTCATTAGTTTGAGAGGATAAATCTCCTACAAATGAGAAAGAAAAAAACATGTAAAAATTGAGAAATTCCTTATTTGGATTGATAAAAAAATTTATGCTATACTTTTTTTTTTTTTTGAACAACTGATTGATTATGTTAAAACTAAAACCCGAATAGGTTTAGATGAATACAATCGGAAACTAGCTCGAATGAGCAGTAAATGTAGAGCAGTATAATACAACGAAAGATAGATGCATTAAGGGGCGAGACTTGCTCAGTAGTGCGAAGAGACTCATAGAAAAACTTCACGCGTAACCCGAAAGCAATTGCTCGAAAGAACATCACATAGTCGAGAAGTGGACCGACTTTAAAACGTCCAATAGATTGGACTTGAGAACGGGTTTGAAGCACCATCAATAGAAGTTGAAACTGAACAGAGGAGGATTGTTGCCAGAAAATTCGACGGCTACCTCTAACTCCTAAGCCTGAACAAAGTGGGCTTAAACACCCAAATTTGAAGCAAAACCCTGAAATGGGCTTAGTGGGCCAAACCCGTTGAACCTGCTTAGTGGGCCAAGCCCGTTGAACCTGCTTAGTGGGCCGGGGACACGATGTTGTAGACTCGCCGGAAACACATTTCTGATGGTTCTCCGGCGAGAGTAGAAGCTTCGCAGTCGGCGACGCAGAAGAAAAAACCAGCGACTGATAAGTAGGAAGACTCTCTTTGTTCGGTAGATCTGACAGATTTGCACAGCGTGGTGAGGCTAGAAGGAAGTGGAGGAGGAGAATCGGAGGCGGCGGACGATGAGAGCATGCCCGAGATTCCATCGGATCTGGTGGTTTCGGCGGAGGGAGCAGCTGAAACGGAGAGCGGCTCAGCCAAAGTTGAAAGGGTGGCGGCGCATGAGCTCTTGCTTCTGGCGAATAGGGAGATAGGACCGAGAACTCCGTCCTCAAGAGCACCATCGATCCCATCTGAAGATCCACCGGAGAGAGAGCACGGCCGAGATCAATGGAGAAAAAAGACTAAATTTTTGGCAACAAAATCACCAAAAAAAAAACAGAAGATTCAGAAGTAAGAAGAGAGAAGCAAGTAGAGGGGGGCTTCGATTTCAAAATAAGGACCACCAATGAGGGAGATCCATCCCGAAATCGGAGCACAGCAGCAGATGACTTGGGCGGCGTGCCTGAAAGAGAAAAGTTTTTTAGGGCGAACTAGAAGTATATATTTATGCTATACTATATCTAATTAATAGTTGAGTTGATTGCTTAGACCAACCCCAATGCAGATCTGCAAGGGTCTAATAACAAGGTCTTAGTAATATAATTACATTAAAATATTATGTAAAGTGTCTAATATTTTAGACAAGGGTCTAAAATAGGATTTTTTTTTTGATTTAAGAACACATAGCTGGCAATATATGAATGGAAAAAAAAAATTTAATACATGAAATGAAAAGAAAAAAACAAAATCTACTAAATATTAATATTTAATCATTAAGACCTCTATACTAATGGGGTTACCATTGGGATTGCTCTTAGTAGTAAAAATCCTACTATCACCACAGTTTAGGATCCATCCAGAGTGACTGTAAGCTAATATCCAGTATACTATCCAACAAACTCTTGGAATGAGTTGTTGCGAACTAGTCAAGCTTTTCCCAAAGATAGTGGACATCGTTCACCTACTCTCACCATAGATTCACTGTCATCATTACGACCATATATAGTTGATAAGATGCATTAAGTACTTCTTAGATTCTTAAAGTAATTTTTTCTTATGCATTTGACATGTGGATTTTTTTGACCCTATATAAAGTCCCAATTTAACAATATTTAATTAGTAACTGCCATTTTTATCAAAACAGCTAAAACTTTTTTTTGAACCAAAATTTTTAATTAGAAAATGGTAACTGAAAAATTAAAATGATTAAATATTTTTTTAAAATTTTAATATAAATATAAAATAAAAATTTAATTATAATAAATACAAAATTTCTTATTTTTTATTTTTATATCTAATCGTATATTTTTAACTTTCCAAATGGTAATTGAGGAAGCGGTTAGAAATATATTTCACACTAAAGTGGTTATAAATATAAATATTGCATTGAACTAAAAAATAATGTTTACCCTATAAAAAATAACAAATTTGTAAACTTTTTTATTATTTTGGTGGAAAATTTTCTTTAATATCATCTACATTTTTTGAGTTTTTTCTTCTCTTTACCAAAAATTACATATCTAATATTCCCTCTGTATTTTTAATATAGGATGTTATGAGTTTTTCACAAATATTAGGAAATTTTAGTAAAAAAAATTTATAACTTTATTTTATTAATTATTATTTCTATTTCTATTTATATTACTAATATTATAAGAAACTAAGTAAAAATCAACAATAAATACACATAGAAAATTGAAAACATTTAACAATTTGAAACAATTTTTTTCTTTCTAAAATATCTTATACTTAGAAACAAGAGAATATTAAATTTCAGTTCATTTAATCCAACAAACCATCATGTTTTTTTGGATATTTTTTTATATGTGACAATGAATTAAATATTTTTTAGTGTGTCTTTGTGAGTTTTTTTTATATTTATAGATATATTTATTTATTTATTTATTTCATAAATGCTTGGTAGGGTATCACAGTAATCACAACCGTTTCGCGCTTCTTGGCTTTCGTGAAAAAATGTGAAAAGATGAAAATAAGGCCTACTTTAGAATTAGTGAGATCATATATACACAAACTGTAATCCAGTCTATTAAACAATTATTTATTTCCAGAAAATTATATAAATATATTACATAATTTCAAGGATAGATATTTATTGGAAATTTCAGATTAAGTAAACAGTTAAATTTATAGGCTAATAAATGAACTATATGGACTCAATTGAAAGATTTCCTAACTTTTTCTACAAAACTTAAGATATTAGAATTCTATAAAATCATGTCATCTAGATAGAAAGCAATGAACAAATTAAAAAAAAAAGATCATTAGTATCTTACGAAAATAAAATTTTTTTACACAAAGCAGAAAAATACCAAGAAACAATCATAGGAAAAAAAAAAAGCTACCAAATTACAAAAATACTCCCAGCTCTCCTCATTTCTTGAGTTATAAGAGAAAAAAGATAATTAAAATATATGTCTAAAAATTATTATAAATAAATAAAATTAAAATTTCATTTACCTGTAATTCAACAGCACATGTGATTAGCCCTTTTTCATCAGCAATTTGGAGAATCCCACACTCTCTGTTACAGAATCCATGACTATCACCGTATTTCCAATATGCCTTTTAGTTCTGGGATCAAAACTCCGTCCAGCTAACCGTCACAGAAATATTTGATAAAAAGTTAATTTGTATTCCAAAGCGTTGGGAGATAGAACACCTTTGAAAAACATTGTTTTTCAATAACAAAATTTAATAAAAATTCTAGTAAAAAAAATAATATCTAAAAATAACGAAAAGTAAAACTTACCTTAAAATCTCTGAAATAATAGCTTAATAAATATCAATTTAGACTGCAAATGGCTAATTGTCCAAAAGTCGTTCCAACAAGCACTCAGTAATCATAAGTAGGCAATCCATCATGTTTATAATGCACACTTCTACAGATTAATGCAAACTTCTCTACGTGGGGTAGAGACGTATAGTTTTCATGAAAGGAATCAATGATACCACCATCTCTAGACTGATACTTGTCATCAACACCAACAATAATTTTATGGGGAGTTAATTTGACACATAATATATTAGCTAGATGCGTGGAGGCAATATAATGTCTAGACAAAGCTATGCTCCAGCAATTGCCTATAAAAAATATTATTAGATTTAATTTATTTAAGTTTTTATTAACAGTTAAAAAAAATTCTAATGTGTGTGAGAATTGGGCAAATTTCAAAAATAAATCTAGCCCAAATTGTATCTCGAATCCTCACCAAATTGTTTACAACTCTAAGTGATGAAGAAAATTCACATAACCTAACTAAGAGGTTGCAAAAGAGTGATGAGATCAATTTTTTGTATGCATATATGGCTATGTAGAATCATACTAATATGTAACTAAGAGAATACTATTGTTTGATGCAAATATATATCAGTTAGATTTTTAAATATGTGATGTATCAAAATGATGTTTATCTTGGAATTTAGTTTGGTTTAAGAATTAAGAATACAATATTATATCTAAAAACTAAAGAGGTTAAATGTGAAACTTTCATGATTTTAAATGGATTTTAGAAATGGGCTAGAATTGAAAGTATAGCCTATTTTATAAGACCCAATCTAGAATTCAGCAATCTAGAATTTAAGAAAAGTTGGAAAAAAATGCACCACAACCGTTCCTCTTCTTTCACTTTTCTTTTGTTCGCATCTTCTTCGTCTCAATGTACCGAAGATGCAAAGTGGTTTTGATCCTTGATCGATCAGTCATTATCAGTCATGGAGAACGTAGCAGTGCAACTGAAGCGTGGGAAATCGAGACGCTAAGCCGACAATTCACACGCCAATCCTCTCTCGGCCGTAACAACTTCGGCTTCGGCATCACACGAAGCTCCGAGTCCCTTAGCTGCGAGCCGCAGATGGCTGTGCTGGAGAATCTCGATTCCACGATGCAGCTTCTCTTTACGGCCAGCAAAGGCTATACGTCAATGGTGTCGAGGAGCTACTCAACGAAGGAATCGATGTGAACAACATTGATCTCTTCACATCGCGTCCTGTGAAGGTCATTACGACGTCGTTAAGGTTCTTCTTAGCCGCAGAGCTAACATCGATGACCGTGTCGTTGGGGGAGTACGGTATTTTCTTTAAAATTCTTTAGTCTGCAAATCAGTAGTAAATAAATGTGAAATTATTTCAGTGACGCATGGTAAAATTTTATCCTCCCTTCAGTAAAAGATTTTTGCATTAAGTTCTAAGGAGTATATAAACTCTTGACTATCATTTGTTTCAAATACCTTTGATTTTGAGAGTATGATAATTCTCTTAAAGGCAATTCTTGCTTCTCTTTTTTTAATTTTTGGACTAGATTCATGCTCGGGCTGCCTTTGTGTATTCAAAGTCTTGTTCATGCCATGTAACACGAGATCGGTCAAAACTATTTTAGTAACATAAGCAAATTTATGAAAATTATGGGCTTCTCTTCCTAACTTCTTATTTAATGTGTTTACAACATTTATTACATTAAACTTATTGTATATAAAGGTTTTCTTGTTATTGATTCTAGGGTTAGAACAAGGATTCTTGTTTTTATCTTTTTTTGAGGGTTTCTAGTTTTCTTTTTCTAATGGGGACGTGAGAGCAAGCCCAATAGAGACATTATTGGTGGGTGTCTTATTAATTAATTATTAATATTTTGTGTGCTTTTTGTATATAAGACACTTTGTAATATTTTGTTGTTTTTAAGCATACAATGAAGATACTTTTTGATGGGTGTCTTAAAAAATATATATATATATATATATATTTTAATAAATTTAAGTAAAAACTTTTGTTAACAACTTTTAAAACATATTACATTTTCAAAAATATAATACAGTAGAAATTTTTATAAATTAATATTTAATAAATTAATAAATTCGATAAATCAATATTTTTGTTTGGTCCCGAGTTAGACCGATCCAAAATTTAATATAAATCAATAAATTAATAAGATAATATTTTTTGAAACTTTATGTAAAATATAGTCCTAATTATATCATAAATTAATAAATATCATATAAAATAATTTTACATAATTATATAGTAATGATAATCTATTAAATATAAGTATATTGTTGTTTTTTTAACTAAAGTTAAAATATTTTTATCATTTATCTCTAATCTTATAATAAAAATTTTGAAAATATTATAAATTTAAAAGAAAATATTATTTTAATTAATTATTAATAAATAATTTATTTTATCCAAAACTGATAAATCAATAACTCTAGAGATTAATAAAATATCGAAGTCCCAACATTATTAATTTATAAAGTTTCTACTGTATATGAAAGCATATAAATTATAAATATGCAATTTAGAAATTAAAATTTTTCATCGTCCACTCACATCTTGCCACGTGTGCGTTCTTAATTTAGACACTAGTGTCTTATTTTAGACACTGATCTAAAATATAAGACATCATGATTCATTTTTTATTCAATTTTATTGTTAAGAACATTTGTTTAGACCCTTCAAGGTCTCTATTGGGGTTGGTCTGAGATGATAAATTTATGGAAAGAGGTTTTTTAATTTATGGTGTTTAGTTGTGTTTGTTTTGTTTTGGGAGGTAAGGGGATTTTGGAGGAAAAAAAAGGGTTTTTTCATACGCCTTTTTTATTTTATGTTTAGAAATTTCTTATTGATTAATGGACGAAAAATACTTGAGAAATGTTTCTATCTTTAGTAATTAAACAAACAAAAAAATGACGATGCATCGTTAACGTTGGGTAATAATGGTTATACTGTTACTATATAAACCATTCATTGGTTCATTGTCTCAACAAAAAATCGAATAACAAAAGTTGTCGACTAGTGTTCACATTACTATTGATTGTTTCATTATCTTTCTTTAGTTTATTAGTGTGGCTTTGATAGGCTTATCAGGTTTTTCTTTAACAATATTCTTCTCAATAAATTGTCATATATAGTACTAAGACATATGAATTACTGATTTTGCATATTTACTTCTTATAATAAAACTTTTAGGATTATGCATATTTGGTTCGCATAATATAGCACATATGTCCATGGTAAATTGGTAATAGGTCCACATACATTAGGAGTTACACATTGCAACAACGTATTATCGCGTTTCGATAACGCAAACGCGAACATGGATCCATGTTTCGAAATGTTTCTGCGAGTCATATGTCCAGACTCCAGAGTTTTCTCCATCTTCCAGAACTGCGGAAGTCACATTTGTTCCCAACGATCAAACTTTGCTTGTCTTCGACACAACTTATATTACGATGATGCCATAGCGGGTCGTGGCAATCTCAGAATCGACTCGGAGATTGGAGCCCACTCACGCACACGTACACCCCTTTGTGGAAGCATTTGCGGCCGATCAGGACCGTTTCTTCAACGCCTTCCCTTCTGCGTTTGTAAAACTGTCTTCTTACAAGGTGTCAACCGGGAATAAAGGAGTGATTAGAAGCGTGTGTGACAAGGTAGATTGATATATATTTATAATTACCTAATGTTAAATGAATTGATGCTATAATTAGTAAACAATAGCTTGATACATTGCTTCGCAAATTTATCATAAGTTATTTACATAACAACGAGACTTAAACTAAACCAGTTAACATAAATTTTAACATAAAACCTTCAACTCTTTTTAATTATCTTTGTCGCTGCAACTTACTTTAAATAGAAAGCTTGTGTCACCGTTCAAAGCAGCAGCGGTGATTGGAGTGGTCGCCATAATCAACCTCGCGAGTCCCTGCAGGCTGCAACTTATTCTTCACTTACTTGGATGGTTGCTTGTTGCTGTAACGACTCAATTTCGGACAGGGCCAACGTTATAGGGTTCATCTGTGAATCAGTTGCAGCAAATAATCGACCAGAGGCGTTGATTCATAGGAAGGATGACACGAGTTGATTTGAACGATACGATCGGTAAATGGGTTGTTGGGCTCACGTTTGGGCTTAAATAAGAATAGACTTTAAGATAAACTTCTTTTACAGTGTTTTAAATGTATTTAAAACCTTTCTTCTCGAGAGAGGGCATCAAAGTTCGGTTCCAGCTCAGAAGCTTCGTCGGCCCTTTCCCCTATTTCTGTTCGATTAGAATTAATCCATCTCAGATCATATATAAAAATGGAACAGGACTGGTATGTTTCTTTTTCACGATTATGTTTTTTTTTTAACACTAAAACTTTGTTTTTTGAACCCCAAAACTTTTTTTTCTTTTGAACCCTAAAACTCTTTTATCTGTTGTTATTTACTGATTTGATATTGATTTTTTTTCTTTGGTCTTTACAGCGAAAGATTGAGAAATCAAGATGGTGTGAATGAGGACATAATCAATGAGTTGCCTGTAGATTTGCTTCTGCAGCTATTATCTTTACTTCCAATAAAAATTGTCATAGCCACAAGTGTTTTGTCCAAACGGTGGAGACCTCTTGATGCAGGAGATGGTTCCGAGACCTAATCCATTCTAGATTACAGATCTTTCTAGATATTTCTTTTTCTAATTAGGATTCTAGTAACTTTCTTTATTTTTAGGAATTATCTATTTTATGCTTTAGGTTTTCTCTATATAAAGAACCTTAGAAGATATGTTTTAGAGACAACTTTTTACTATTATTATTAATCAAAGTCTTCGAGTTTTCGAGCTTTACCTTTTCTGGTGGATTTCAGAGCCTTTTCTTCAAGTTTGTCGCTTGCGAACTTGAATCTTCAATTCTAAGACCAACGCTTGTTGTCTTAGTGCATCCGACTGCGTCAAGTGGTATCAGAACAGGCAATCTCCTTCTCTTTTCGAAGCTTGAACAGCTATGGGTGATCAACCAGTAACCAGGGCCGATATGGAGGGTTTCGCAGCAGGTCTGAACGAATCAACCACGAACCTGGCAAATATGGTGGCAGCGTTAACTAATCAGATTGCAGCATCAACCAATCAGATTGCTAACGCGGGACAAGGAGGAGGAGTAAGAATGGGACCAAACCCTAATCAACAAGGCGAAAACATCCCGGTTGCTGAAGAACCGGCTCGGAACCGGCAAGGTGACGACAATCATCGACCCGGTGGAAACAATAGACAACAAGGCAGGCACAATCATGTTGTTAACAATTCCAGCTCGGAGGAGGAGTCGGAAGGAGAAGTGGAAGAATAAGGGAATCAAAACAATCAGGATTACCGAGTGAAAGCTGATATTCCATTGTTCTATGGGACTATGGGAGTAGATAAATTTCTCGATTGGCAAATTGATGTTGATCGGTTCTTCGATGTTATGGAAGTCCCGGAGAGAAAACAGGTTAAGATGGTGGCAATCAGGTTAAAGAAGACTGCTGCTGTTTGGTGGGATAAATTGGCTATCCAAAGGCAAAGGCAAAGAAAGGGTCCCGTTAGAACATGGCGATGAATAAAGCAGCTAATGACTGAGCGGTTCTTACCAGAAGACTACGAACAGATTCTCTACAAGATGTATATTGATTGTGTACAGGGAAGCAGGACTGTGACTGATTACACAGCTGAGTTCTTACGTTTCTCTGAACGTAGTGACTTAAACGAAACAGAGAATCAGAAGGTAGCCAGATACATCAGTGGTTTAAAGGGCTCTCTTCAAGGAAAAATAGGGTTACAGACTGTGTGGACGGTTCAAGAAGCCCCCAGTCTCGCCTTGAAAGCGGAATTGATGGAGAAGTCAACTCGGGGGTTCACAAATTTCAGGAGACCCTCGGTTCAGAACAACTTCGAACCAGCCGGAGAGAAAGACAAAGGCATGGTTAACAGAGATTCCAACTCTAGCAACAAAGGAGCCAGTATTTTCAATAGTGGAGTTCAAAAGGACAAAGCACCAGCTCCGAAACAAAACACTTCTTATGCTAGGCCAACCCTCGACAAGTGTTTCCGTTGTCAAGGAATAGGTCACAAGTCGAATGTCTGTCCCAGTAGAAAAACGGTTGCATTCCTAGAAGAAGAGGGAGACGACTTCATGGAGAATGAGGAGTATGAGAGAGTTGAATTTGCGGAAGAGGAATCTGAGGACAGAATCAGCATTGTTTTACAGCGACTCTTGCTATCATCCAAGGAAGAGGGACAACACAAGAATCTGTTTAGAATGCATTGTTCTATTCAGAACAAGGTGTGCAATGTGATTGTTGACAATGGGAGCTCCGAGAATTTAGTTTCTCAAAAGCTGGTGGAATATTTGAAACTACCTACGACTCGTCATAAAAAACCTTACGGTCTCGGATGGGTGAAGAAAGGGTCTAAGGTAGGGGTTAGTGAAACTTGCAAAATTCCTTTATCAATTGGGAAGTACTACAAAGAGGAGATACTCTGTGATGTTCTGGACATGGATGTTTGTCATATTTTCCTTGGGCGGCCATGGCAGTATGATAACGACATAACATACCGAGGACGTGACAACGTGATCATGTTTACGTGGGGAACTTGTAAGATTGCAATGGCTCATGTTAAAGATTTTGGTAGCATTGCAAAGGAAAAGAAGTCCAGATTCCTAGTCGTGACGCATGATGACAAAGAACTTGACAAGGCTGTTCAGGAATCAAAGTGTTTTTATCCGATTATGGTCAAAGGGTTGATGAGTGCCGTGACGGAGGAGACAACAGCTCCACGTGAGATTTTAGAAATTTTGGAAGACTTCAAGGAGTTGGTTGCGGAGGAACTACCTAACGACCTGCCTCTTATGCGTGATATTCAACATCACATAGACTTGATTCCAGGTTCTAGTCTACCTAATCTTCCCCACTATCGATTGAGCCCTAAAGAGAATGAAATTGTAAGAGAACAGATTGAAGATTTGCTGAAGAAAGGACTAATCCGCGAGAGCATGAGTCCTTGTGCTGTACCGGTTCTTCTCGCTCCAAAGAAGGGTAATCAGTGGCGAATGTGTGTTGATTCTAGAGCCATCAACAAGATCACAATCAAGTACCGGTTTCCTATCCCTCGGTTGGAAGACATGCTTGATGAGTTGAATGGATCGAAGGTGTTTTCAAAAATAGATCTTCGAAGTGGGTACCATCAGATTCGAATCAGGCCTGGAGATGAATGGAAGACTGCTTTTAAGAGCAAAGACGGATTATACGAATGGTTGGTGATGCCTTTCGGATTGTCAAACGCTCCTAGTACTTTCATGAGACTAATGAATCAAATTCTCCGTGCTCTCATTGGGTCTTTTGTGGTGGTTTACTTCGACGATATCTTGATCTACAGCAAAACCAAAGACGATCACTTGGAGCATCTCAAACGGGTTTTGCTGGTCTTACAAGAAAATCAGCTGTACGTGAACTTAAAGAAGTGTACGTTTTGCACAAACAAGCTCCTATTTTTGGGGTTTGTCGTTGGTGAAGATGGAATTCAAGTGGACGAAGCCAAAATAAGTGCAATCAAAGATTGGCCCGTGCCTAAATCCGTATCTGAGGTACGCAGTTTTCATGGTCTTGCGACTTTCTACAGAAGGTTTGTACGAGACTTCAGTACTATTACGGCGCCTATCACTGAATGTTTGAAGAAAGGGAAGTTTCATTGGGGTCCGGAACAAGACGAGAGCTTCGCTTCGATCAAGGAGAAGCTTTTTACTGCTCCAGTTTTAGCTTTGCTGGATTTTGATAAGGTGTTTCAGGTGGAGTGTGATGCAAGTGGCGTGGGAATTGGAGCTGTATTGTCACAAGAGAAGCGTGATGTTGCTTTCTTTAGTGAAAAATTGAGTGAAGCACGTCAAAAGTGGAGTACTTATGATCAGGAGTTCTATGCTGTGTTTCGAGCTTTAAGACAATGGGAGCACTATCTGGTTCAACGCGAGTTTATTCTTTTCACAGATCATCAAGCTCTCAAGTTCCTTCACAGCCAGAAGATGGTCAATAAGACGCATGCTCGTTGGGTTAGCTACTTACAGAAGTTCCCTTTTATCATCCAGCACAAATCAGGAACGCTTAACCGGGTTGCCGATGCCTTAAGTAGAAGGGCTTTATTACTCACTACTTTAGCGCAGGAGGTTGTAGGTTTCGAGTTTTTGAAAGAGTTGTACGAACAAGATGCCGAGTTCCAAGAGCTATGGATCAAGTGCAGTCAGCAGCACCCTTCGACGGATTTTCATATCCGAGAAGGTTACCTCTTTAAAGGAAATAAGTTATGAATTCCCTGCTCTTCTTTACGGGAGAAGTTGATTCGTGAGTTGCATGGAGGGGGTCTTAGTGGTCACTTATGGCGAGATAAGACAATAGCAAGCTTGGAAGAAAGGTACTATTGGCCGCATCTTAGGAAAGACGCTGGAGCAATTGTACGAAGGTGTTATATCTGCCAAGTTTCCAAGGGTCAATCTCAGAATACAGGTCTTTACATGCCATTACCTGTTCCTAATGACATCTGGGACGATTTGTCCATGGATTTCGTGTTGGGATTGCCAAGGACACAACGAGGAGTGGATTCTGTGTTTGTTGTTGTTGACAGGTTCTCTAAAATGACGCACTTCATTGCTTGTAGGAAGACCGCAGATGCAACCAACATTGCCAAGTTGTTCTTTCGTGAAGTTGTACGTCTCCATGGGGTTCCTACATCGATAGTTTCAGACAGAGATACCAAGTTTCTCAGTCATTTTTGGATCACATTATGGAGGTTGTTTGGAACAAGTTTGAAACGAAGCTCTACGGCTCATCCGCAGAGTGATGGACAAACGGAGGTAACAAATAGGACATTGGGGAATATGATCAGAAGTGTTTGTGGAGATAAACCGAAGCAGTGGGATTTGGCGTTACCACAGGTCGAATTCGCCTACAACAGTGCCATGCATTCAGCCACAGGGAAGTCACCATTCTCTTTGGTATACACCTCTGTTCCGAGGCATGTTGTCGACTTGGTTCCGTTACCTAAAGCTCCCGGAGTTAGCGCATCAGCAGAGGCGATGGCTAAAGATGTTGTGGCAACTAAAGAAGCGGTTCGCGCTAAATTGGAAGCAACCGGACTAAAGAATAAACGAGCAGCAGACAGGCGGAGAAGACTAAAGGTTTTCAAAGAAGGAGATGAGGTGATGGTGTTTCTACGGAAAGAAAGGTTTCCAGTGGGTACATATCGCAAGCTTCAGCCTCGCAAGTATGGTCCATTCACGGTTTTGAAGAAGCTCAATGACAATGCTTATGTGGTGGATCTTCCAGACGACATGAACATCTCTCGGACGTTTAATGTAGCTGACATTTATGAGTATCATGCGGATGGTGTTCTTTATCCAAATGAGAACTCGGGGTCGAGTTCTTTGGAGGTGGAGGAGACTGATGCAGGAGATGGTTCCGAGACCTAATCCATTCTAGATTACAGATCCTTCTAGATATTTCCTTTTCTAATTAGGATTCTAGTAACTTTCTTTATTTCTAGGAATTACCTATTTTATGCTTTAGGCTTTCTCTATATAAAGAACCTTAGGAGATATGTTTTAGAGAGAACTTTTTACTATTATTATTAATCAAAGTCTTCGAGTTTTCGAGCTTTACCTTTTCTGGTGGATTCCAGAGTCTTTTCTTCAAGTTTGTCGCTTGCGAACTTGAATCTTCAATTCTAAGACCAACGCTTGTTGTCTTAGTGCATCCGACTGCGTCAAGTGGTATCAGAGCAGGCAATCTTCTTCTCTTTTCGAAGCTTGAACAGCTATGGGTGATCAACCAGTAACCAGGGCCGACATGGAGGGTTTCGCAGCAGGTCTGAACGAATCAGCCACGAACCTGGCAAATCTGGTGGCAGCGTTAACTAATCAGATTGCAGCATTAACCAATCAGATTGCTAACGCGGGACAAAGAGGAGGAATAAGAATGGGACCAAACCCTAATCAACAAGGCGGAAACATCCCGGTTGCTGAAGAACCGGCTCGGAACCGGCAAGGTGACGACAATCATCGACCTTAGGGGTTTTAAGGCTAACATTGTTTTTTGGTACTAATGTTTGCCTCATGCACAGATTAAATTTCCAACTGGTAGTATCTTCTATCAGCTTGTATATTTGGAGCTAGCTTCAGACAAAAGAAACTGGAGGAATCTACTTTCGCTCATGCTTGATAGTTCTCCTAAATTGCAAGTCTTCAAGCTTATGGAAATAAGCAATTTCATTTTTTTTTTTTGTGTGTTTCTTTTCCACATCTCCACTTTCTGATGATCTAATTGCATTGGTCTCAGCCGTATTGGTTTAATTTCCATGTGCGGACTTGGGTGGTATAAACTAATATGTGGTGCGAAGAAAAAAAATGATTTGAGAGGAAAAAAGTAATTGAAAAAGAGAGTAAATAGATATTTAGATGGTATAAAAAGTTCAGTGATTCCATCTAATTGAAGTATGGTCCATCGATAAATCTTTAAAAAATAAAAATATTAATATTTAATTTATTTTATTTTTATGATTAAATTTTAGTTTCTTAAAACAATTTGAATTTATAAAAAAATAAATATTTTAAAAAGTTTTTCGTAACTTTTTAAAAATCTCTCAAATATTTTTCATAATTTTTTCAAAATTTTTTAAATAAAAAATTGATTCTCATTTTTTTTTATTATTATTATTATTATTATTATTATTATTATTTATTATTATTATTATTATTATTATTATTATTATTATTATATATTAATGATGTGATACTATTAAAAAATTGTCATTAGAGTTATGTGGCATCAAGTTTTCAATAATAATAATAGGTGGTCTAAAAGCATATATAGATAGGCTTTATACTCCATCGGTAGTTCATTGAATCTGCTAACGTTAATATTAACCGTTACAGTGTAATTTGTTAATTGATTTGTTTACACTTGACAAACAAAAGTTGAATATCTTAATATTCTAATTCTAAACCCCACTAAAATCCAAATATAGTTTTATCTATGATATTCGGAAAAGGGTGCATGGCAGTAAAATTTCTCCACGCTTATGCATACTAGATTAGATTTTTTTTTTCTTATTTGGTTTTTAGTGTATTGAGTTAGATAATTGGTTAACGAAACTCGTGTATATTCTTCGTAAGACCATTTTACGTACAAATCAAAATACTGTAAGCGTAGAACTAAATATCTATTGACACATTAACAAGCACTCGACCGATCGACCACTAATATCCTACATGATTTAGAGAGCTCACATTATTCCAAAGATAGCATAGCTAGACGTTAGCATTAGACAGTCCAAAAAATATATTATTTGAAAATTAGTTCGACGCCATAATAAGTTGTTTCCCTAAGGGACTACACATTGACACGTGAAATCGGTGGGGTTCAAGTGAAAATGAAGTCTCATAACGCCAAGTGTTGGTCGTTGGTTAAGCGGTCCGAGAGACTATACACGTTCCATCGTACCACGTGAAGCGCATATCGTGAGATACAACGTTATAGAATCCGAAATGAGATGATGTCATCAGATGTAAATTGAGGATTTTGTCATCATCTTTTATTTGGTTTGGTTTCATCAACTATGATGTTGTCTTATGTGAACTTGTTGCAAATCGAATATCATGTTGCATCATATATATATTACTCTTCAAATTAAAGTTTAGCTTTTGGTCTATAATTTTGGAATAAGACCAGGCGGTGCAGTAGCAGAGTTGGTGTTGGTATGACTCACTTACCTTTGATTAGGGGTTTACTGTATATTCGTTTTAGGAATTGGTGTTTCCATGGGTTTTATTTCTCTACTATGTAATAATCGGTACTATAAATATTATTTATATTAATTAATATAATTTTACAACTATATAATATAATATTATTGATTTTATAAAAAAAATAATTTATTTTTATATATATGCTAAAAATAATTTTGGTGATGTACATCAACAAAATGATACAATTATAAATAATTTACAAACTAAAATTAATCTTTATAAAAATTATATAACATTATGATATAACATTAATGATATAAATATTTTTGTTTATTTATAAAATATAAGGTTATTTAATTGTTATATAAATTAATTTAAAAATTGGTAGAAATACAAAGTCACTATATAGATTTTATGTATCCTAATTAACGATATGATTAAGCTTTTCTAATAATTCCAAGCTTTAAGTATATAATATTTATGTATTTATTTATTTATTTTTGATATTTGGATAAAGATTATATAATATAATTTAAATTATTTATTAGTTATATAATATTTTGTGTTAAATAAATTAAAAGAAAACACGAATTTTATGTTCTTAATTTAGAAAATAAAAAATATAATTATAAATTAATGTAAATAACTTTATTTATAATAAAAAAACAGTTTTGACTTCAAAAGTATATATCAAAAATAATATCCAAGATATAATAAAAATTTACTAATAAAACTGCATATATAAATATAGATTGGTCTTCAAAATCTTTTGAATGGTATTAATGAGAATTGGTTAGAACTCTATCTATTTTTAAAATATAGTATATATTTATATTGATTTCGGTATATGTAAATAATTATAAGACAGTGTTTTGTAATTATTTGTAATTACATCAATCTGAATAATTATATGATCAAATAAAACTTAAAAATATCTTTGTGAATTAAAATTTTGTATAAAGCCATCTAGGTAAAAGTAATAGTATTATCTAATTATAAAAAATACAGAATAAAATCAGAAAGAATATTTGTTATGTGAAACTTAGAAATTATCTATTTTCTGTTCAATTATCCTTAACTTCAAAATACATCATAATATTATTGATAGTCAACCATCAATACTTATCTATCTCATCGACGAAGATTTCATACCCAACATACTTGATTTTATTTTGCATATAAGTAATTGAAAAGATAATAAATTATATGTTAGTAATATAATATATACATAATAAAAAATATTAAATTTCAAATGTAATGAATATTGATAAAGTTTCAATGCATTTTTCCTATTATTGGTTATATATTAAATTTATTATAATTAACTTCTATAAAAATATTAATGTACATTAAAATAGTTCACCCATCTTATATATTATTTATTACTCTAAATAAATTTCAAATATTTAATATTTATTAGAAAATAGAGTTATTATAGTTTATACTCAAAAAATTTAGATATATATATATATATAAAATTATTTTAATTGATAGATTAGTATCAATAATATTATTTAGATTTAAATTAATTTATTAATTATGTTATAAACTAAATTATTTAGATTATTAACATATATAAAACGTAATATTTTGCATTTAGATTAAGATTTTTAATAAATTTTTAATTAGTTCACAATTAAATTACATTAGATATATATTATTATTGTTTACGGAGAAATTGTATTCGATGATCTTAGATAACTCTGACAATTAGATGAGAGTAAAATTCATTTTTCTCTCTTCCTACTTAAATAAAAATGTTTTTATTATCCTTTTTCTTTCTTCCTAATGCACACAAATGATTTTCATCTCATCTTTAGCTTCAATCGAAGAAGATAAAGATGGATCACACTTTTTGAGAAGTTTAACTTTTTTTTTCAATTTTCCTTGCGATTTTTCAATAATGCTCATCAAAATTATGGTGGCTCGTCCCTTTTATGGAGATGGTGGTTGTCGGTGGTGTTGTTGATGATGGTGGTGGTGGTGTTGTTGATGGTGGTGGTGGTCGGTAGTGGTGGTGGTGATGGTGTCGGCGGTGATGGTGGTGGTAGTCGATGATGGTGGTGGTGTTGGTGTTATTGGTGGTGGTGGTCGTCAGTGGTGGTAATGGTGTTGTCGATGGTGGTGGTGGTGGAAGACGGTGGTGATGTGAGTGGAAGATGATGGACGAAACTAACAGAAGATGATGGACGAAACTAACAGTAATGTTAACATGATAGTTATCATGTTCACAATGTTAGTATGATAATTTTTTGATATAATAACATTTTTAACACAATAGTTATCATGCTCACAATATTAGTATGATAATTTTTTGATATGATAACACTGTTAACAATTTAACATAACAATTTTGCATAACTTATATATTTAACAAAGTTAACACGATACTTATACAATATGTTAATCGAGTATCATATTAGTTAGCACAATTAACATAGTTAATACAATATCATATTAGTTAGTACGGTAATCGAGTTGTTATCTATCCAAACCGCATCAAATAAGTTTAGGGACAAAATAATCATAATTATTATATATAATATGTATCAATCTAATTTTTAATTATTGACTCTATTTTTATAATTTTCAGATTATTTTGAGTCATTTATTAAATTTTCCATTGTTTACATATTAAATTTAGAAAAAATAATAAACTAATGAAACTTTTTAATTAATTAATAAATTTAAATTTATTGATGAATTAATTATTTGCGTAGTTACCATATATCAAATTTAATAGATATATTTTGATTCAATTATTAGTTAATTCCTAATGACTTATGCTAATAATAAGATTAGTTTTACTATTAAAATTACAATGATAAAATTCATTTCAGAATTTTATAATTAATTCAAGTATTGTATTTATATGAATGTAATTGTATATTTAAGTTAATCTGTAAACACTACAATTATAAAAATATCAAATTTTAAGAAAAGCAAATTATTGTAAATTTTATTTTAAAATACTAAATATATAAAAATATTATATAAAAACGATTATATATTTTATTTTTTATTTTTTAAAAGAAAATATCTAAAATTATATATAACTGAGTCAAAATTTATCAACTCTTAACATTTTTATTTAATAAAACATTTTTAATATAAAAAAATTAGATTAAATTATTATATAATATCGTGATAAAATATAATTTTAAATTTTTGAACAAGTTATTTTTTTGTATATATCATATATTTTTAATAGTTAATTTTTTAATCAAACTAAAATACTTATAATATTATGTTATTTTAACATATATAACTATTTTTTTATATCTTTTGATATAATATTTTTTTTAAAACTTAATTATTTATATTATTTGGTTAATTTATATGGTATACACATCTTCATTTTCTATGTAAACTTTTTAAATATATATTTTTTTATTAATTATCTGAGTAATTTATATTTATTTTAAAAAATTCAACTATAACACATGTATACCAAACAAATCTATATATCTTTTACTATATGGATGATGTGATAATTTGTTTTTTTTCACAAAAGTAAGAAAAACAAATATAGTAATTAAATAAATAATTAATATAATATATATTTTGATAAAAATAATATCTTAATATTTAATAGTATAAATAATTGAAACAAACTAAACAAATATATAACTAAATTAATATGACTGGCATAACATATAATTAATGTAGTAACATAAGTCTATTTTTATATATTTGCTGAAAATGATTTTGGTGATGACACATCAATAAAATATTACTATTGTTAATAACTTAAAAAATTAAAATTATTTTTAATTAATATAAAAAAAGATATAACATACTTCCAATAAAAGTTTACATGCTTTTTCTTGTTTCTTTCTGTAGATTCTTTATGTAGAAAGACATACTAATATTGTATATATATTATTTAATAGTAATTGATAAATAAACTAATATGTATGAATATATATATATATATTTTTTTTTTTGGTCGAATATATGAATATCTTTTATTTATAAACAGTTTTGAGACTTGAACTCTATAAATTTTTACTAGGATATGAGTACAATATTTTATTGCATAAATATAATATATTAATAAAAACATATTTTGAGAAAATTTGCATAAAAATATAAATATATATATATATATATATTTATTCAAAAGGTTTTAAATTTTAAAAGCTACATTTAAAAGACAAATTTTAAATATGATAATGATAATAATATATAACAAAATATTAAATATAGATCGTATTAAAAATGTTTAGATCAACATAAATTTTGTATATAAATATTAAATAATTAAAAAAAAAACTAATAATATTTAGATTTTTAAATATTTTCGATTTTATATTTATTAATTTTTATCAAATAAAATTAGTTTTAATTATAATTTATCGAGTAAAATCTGCATTGTTGAAAAGTCTATTCATAATTGAATCAGTTTTTTCAAAAAATACCACAAAAGGTTTGCGACAAAAATGGTTTGAGGTTTTCCGGCATGAATTACTATTATGTATACATCACCACATCATATTATGTATTTATATAAAATTTAAATATTTTATAATTAGTAATTGTTTTAATAAATTTATTTATATTTTCTAAAAAAACTTAAATATGCCATGTAAAGTAATATTATTTCTTGAGAAGAAAATTTGAAAAGTAGTATGACCTATAAACAGAAAAATATGCTGATCAATCCATATTAAACTATATATTTTGAGAATTGTACTATAGAAAAATTTGTCTTTACTATTTTTACACATGATAAATACATTATGGGACCCACTTTTAAGAAACAAAAATCCTAAAATATTTTCTATAAATACTTGTTTACCTCTTTCTCATGGATCTTGTTTTTCTCCCAAAAACACAATTTATAGGAAAACTTTTCTCTTTTCCAAATTTACATCTTCTGTTAAATCAATTCATATCCTCTCAAAAGAACTTTCTACATTATTCAACTCCCTTCTAAGTTCACAAACATCCAGATTAGCTCGTCGGCTACCTTTCAGCCTAAGTTAAAACTATTATTCTCTTACTGTTCCGTTTTCTAATTCTTCCTTCAATCACGTGGTCTTGTTTTGATTTGAATGTCAGAGAATCTTCAGAATGATATCTTATAATCATCTTGAAGTTACCATGACCATTTTTTGTCATACAAGTAGAAGAATTCCTTAGTGTCCTTCCTAGAGACAGCATTCCTTTCCGCCAGGTTACTCACGGTAGGGTTATTGAAAACATCAGTCCTCCCGTCAAACTGCTCCTAATAGAATTTTTGGAGACAACATTACTTTATGTCAAGCTGCTCCCCGTTAGGTTATTGATTACAGCAGTCTACCCCATCAGGTTGTTCCCAGCAGAGTCTTCAGAGATAGCAGTCCTCTCCATCAGGCTGCTTTATGCTGGATTCCCAGAGACAGCAGTCTTCCCCATCAGGCTGCTCCCAGCAGGATTTTTGGAGATAACAATCCTTTCTATTAGGTTGTTCTTCGCTGGATCCCGAAGAGAGCAGTTCTCCTGTTAGGTCATCGAATACAGCAGTCTACCCCATCAGGTTGTTCCCAGCAGAGTCTTCGGAGATAGCAGTCCTCTCCATCAGGCTGCCTTCCGCTGGATTTCCAGAGACAGCAGTCTTCCCCATCAGGCTGCTCCCAGCAGGATTTTTGGAGATAACAATCCTTTCTGTTAGGTTGTTCTTTGCTGGATACCGAAGAGAGCAGTTCTCCCCGTCCAGCTGCTCCAATGATGGTTTTCAAAAACAGCAGTCCTCTCCTTCAGATTGTTCCTACTGGATTTTTGGAGATAGTAGTCCTCTTCATCAGACGGCTCTCAGCAGGGTCTTTGAAGACAGTAATTCACCCGTTTATCTGTCTCTGTTGGGTCCTCAGTGATAACAGTCTTATCTGTTAGGCTGCTTCCAACAGAGTTTCCAGAGACAGCAGTACTATTCGTCAGGCTGCTCACCGCTGGATCCCTGAAAAAAGCGGTCATCCTCGTCAAACTGCTCCCAACAGGGTCTTCGAAGGTAACAATCTTCCCCTTCATGCTACTCCCGCTGGGTATCCAGAAATAGTAATCTTTCTCGTCAGATTGCTCCTAGCAAGGTGCTTTGAGATAACAGTTCTCTCCATCAGGCTGCTCCTCGTTTGGTCTCCGGAGAGAACAGTCCTTCCCATCAAGCTGCTCCCAGCAAGGTCTTTGTAGACGGTAGTTCTTTCTGTCAGACCGCTTCCACTGGGTTTCCAGTGATAGCAGTCTTTCCCGCCAGGCTACGCCCAACAAAGTCCTCGAAGACAGCAGTCTTTCCCAAACTCGCTGGGTCTTTAGAGACAGCAATACTCCTATCAGGCTACTCCTGTTAGGTTCCCATAGATAGGAATTCTCCCTGGCAGGCTGCTCCCAACAGACTTCCTACCAATCTTTCCTGTTAGCTGTCTCCATCTAGTTGGACAGCCCCGCCGTTAGGCTGCTTCCGCACAATCAGACAGCCTCGTCGTCATGCAACCTCTATATAGTCGAACAGTTCCTACCGTCAGATGTCTCCATCCAGTTCCTGCCGTCAGTTGTCCCCATCCAAGTTCTTGCTGTCAGCTGTCCCTGTCCAGTTAGACAACCCTGCTTTTAAGTTGCCTTTGTCTAGTCGAACAATCCTTGTCGTTAGACTGCCCTTGCTAGTTGGACATTCCCTGCTAACAGGCTGTCTATGTCTAGTCGGATAGCCCCTACCGTCAAGCTGCCTCTATCCAGTCTAACAGTGCCCGCCGCCAGGCTTTCTCTGTTCAGTTAGATAGCCTCTGCCGTTAGATTATCTTCGTCTAGTTAGATAGTTCTGCTTATCAGGCTACCTCTGCTCAATCAGTCAGTTTTTACTATCAATCTATCTCCATTCAACCGGATAATCCTGCCTATCAAACTGTTTCAGTCTATTCAAATAATTTCACTGTTAGGCTGTTATGTCCAATTAAATACACTTTTCCGCAAAGTTAAATACATTAATTTTATTTATTATATAATTATCTATAAATTTCATTTTTATATATATCTTATAAAATATTATAAAAAATTATATTTCTACTAATTTTAATATAGTTAAGTTTAATTTTCACTACAAATTAAATCATTTTTTTTTGTTAAATCATAGAAACTTCAGCCTAAGTTTTTAATTTGTAGTGGATTTTCGAAAAACTCCTATCAAAGTGCATGTTTACCTTTCCTTAAAAATAGTTGGCATTGATACATAGTTTTGGGTTTGAAAATTCAAAAACCGGATATCCAATTCTAATTAAAAAAAAAAGCATTGTATTGTCGAAAAAAGCATTGTATTAAATCGACAATTCTTTTTGCTCCCAAAACTCAAGAAAACTATATGTAATACAAGAAAGAAAAGGTCAACATTTAGAATGTCCACTGGTATTTAGGATTTATATTCTTTTAGCACACCACCGAGTACCCTCGAAGCTCCGCAATGTCGTATTTTTCATTATTTTATGTTATTATAAAAAGACAAAGATACTGTATTTACTATGTTATCTAGATATATAAAACGTAAACCGCGACTCAGATGAAATCAATACATCCTGACTAGGCCGGTCTGATTAACCAATCCGGATTAAGATCCTAACCTAACAAACGGTACTACGAGCATTTTCAATCTTACTCCATTTTCAACTTCAAATACTAGTTTGGAGTAAAATTCTCTCTAACTCTACTCCATTTTCAACTCCAAAATAGAGTAAACCTAAATTATACTCTATATTTAGAGTAGATCTAAACTCTACTTCATTTTGGAGTTAGACTTTTTTATTTACAAATTAACCCTTTAGATTTAAAATAATTATATTTTATACTATTTAATATTTATAAAAAATATTATAAAACTGATAATTCTAAATATTTAAACACTGCAATTATTCCTAAAAAATAACAAAATATAATAAATTTTAAAATATATAATAAGTACTGAAATTAAGATAAATAATATAAATAAATTTAAGATAACAAATACAAAAAAATTAATAGTAATTTTTTTAGTAATAGTAATATTTAAATAAAAATTGCATATGCTTTTTTGTGATGTTGTGTAATTTTTATTATTTGATAAATATTTAAGTTATAGTTTTGAAAAAAATAAAATAAGTGGAATTTATTTGTAAATTTTAAAACTAAAAAATATTTATAATAAAATCAAATAAGAATCTATTTAGAATATTCTTTTTTAGAGTAGAAAATGAAGAAATACATTAGAGCAAAACACAACTCCATTTTAAAATTATTCTATTTTGGAGTAGAAAATGAAAAAATATATTAGAAATGGTCTAAAAAGACATATTCTTCATTTGTTATCTGGCTCATCAAGCCCGTCCACTATATACCATCTCCCCTAATATATATATTGCAACAGGAACTTCAGATTATCATGGCACATTACAGTAATTGATTTTAACTTCTCGGACATACACTTAATTGGATATATTATCTTTATTAGTAATAAACGTTGAAGTTCTATCACACACCACAACAATTTTGCGTTAGTGTTAGTATGTACACTTTCTTTTATATCTTTAGTCCTTTTTTGTTCCATAATCTTCTTGAACACGAGACTCATGTAGTATATTCTTATTTCTCCAAAAATCTTATTCACCAACGGTTACCAAAACAAAATCTCTCACTATCCGTACCTTTAATATTTGGATCTTTTATAAGTTACACGCAACTCAAATTCATTTTTCTTATATTTAGAAGTATCTCTATATATTCTCTTTTTGTTAAAGATCTCTATATATTCTCTTATGGACGTATACATATATAAAGCCAATATAATATATACAAAAACATATCGTCTTCAATATACTACAATAAACCTCTAGTTAATAATTTTGATCTTAAACATACTATAAGAAAGCGAGGACAAAAGAAAATGATTATTGTAACAAAGTAATTATACTCGAAAAAATTACAGAGTTTACAGTAAGTTTAAGATCTTAAATTTTTAAAATAGCATAGTTAAGCATAGTATAGTAATCTACTACATTTTTTATTTTTTTAACTCAACCGATAGGCTTTAGAAAGAAAAAAAGTTACTTATAAAACGTGAGAAAACTCCTTCATGTTTGTGATGCAAAAATCCTTCACTCCACTTTTACCTTCACCGCCATGCAACACTCTCTCCGCTCCGATTTTCTCCCGCCGGAAACTTCCCCTCATTTTCATTTACTCCGACAAACCAAACATGCAATAAATACTAACTGCCGACTTCTCATTAACCCTTTCAAAAGAACAACAAAACTTCCAAAGTTCCCTCCTCTCCTCACTTCTCCGGCGACATCACCTCCGTCGCCGGTGAAGCTCAAGCCATCGCATCCCAACTTAAACCCTATCCAGAAGCTAGCGGCTTCGATGCTCGACAAAATCGAATCCTCCTTCGTCGTACCAATGGAACAAAATCACTCGCTTCCTAAACCGACCGACCCGGCAATTCAATTATCCGGTAATTTTGCACCGGTTAACGAATGTCCGGTTCAAAATGGTTTAGAAGTCGTTGGTCAGATTCCCCCTTGTCTACGAGGAGTCTACATCCGTAACGGAGCTAACCCTATGTTTCCGCCATTAGCCGGGCACCATCTATTTGACGGTGACGGAATGATTCACGCCGTTAGCATCGGTTCAGATAACCAGGTTAGTTACAGCTGCCGGTACACTCAAACAAACCGGCTTGTTCAGGAAGCAGAGCTGGGACGACCACTTTTCCCTAAACCGATCGGCGAGCTTCACGGCCATTCGGGCTTGGCTCGACTCGCTTTATTCGCGGCTCGAGCTGAGATCGGCCTAGTGGACGCGACACATGGCATGGGTGTAGCTAACGCTGGAGTCGTTTACTTTAACGGGAGGTTATTAGCCATGTCAGAGGATGATCTCCCTTACCACGTGAAGATCAACGGCCAAGGAGATCTCGAGACAATCGGACGGTTCGGATTCGACGAGCAGATCGATTGTTCAGTGATAGCACATCCTAAAGTGGACCCTACCACAGGAGATCTTCACACGCTGAGTTACAACGTTTTGAGGAAACCTCATCTCAAGTATCTTAAATTCGACACGTGCGGGAAAAAGACACGTGACGTGGACATCACTCTCGAGCAACCCACGATGATCCACGATTTCGCGATAACCGAAAACTTCGTCGTGATCCCGGATCAGCAATTGGTATTCAAGTTAACCGAAATGATTCGGGGCGGGTCACCGGTTATCTACGATAGAGAGAAAGTGTCGAGATTCGGTGTTTTGTCCAAGCAGGATCCGACCGGGTCGGGTATAAGTTGGATCGGCGTACCCGATTGCTTCTGTTTTCATTTATGGAACGCGTGGGAAGAGATGACCGAAGACGGAGACCCGGTTATTGTCGTAATCGGTTCGTGCATGAACCCGCCCGACACGATTTTTAGCGAATCAGGAGAACCGACTCGGATCGAATTAACCGAGATTCGATTAAACCTGCGGACAAAGGAATCGAACCGGAAAGTTATCGTAACCGGGATAAATTTAGAAGCAGGTCAAGTAAACCGGAGTTTCCTGGGGCGAAAAACCCGGTTCGTTTACTTAGCTATCGCTGATCCTTGGCCCAAATGCAGTGGCATCGCGAAGGTGGATTTGGTAGATGGAACTGTTTCAGAGTTTAAATACGGACCGGGCCGGTTCGGTGGTGAACCGTATTTCGTACCGGAGAAAGAAGGAGAAGACCAAGGGTATGTGATGGGTTTTGTGAGGGACGAAGAGAGAGACGAGTCGGAGTTCGTGGTGCTCGATGCATCGGAGATGAAGCTAGTCGCGGCGGTACGGCTGCCGGAGAGAGTACCGTACGGATTCCACGGAACGTTCGTGAGCGAGAATCAGTTGAAGGAACAAGTTTTCTGACTTAGGGGGTATATTCGCAATTATGCAACCTCTCCTTTTTTAGCATGAATTTGTGTATATAAAAATTAAGAAGGGTGGTGGTTTGGTTTTTGCTTGTTAACTTTATTATTATTTGTAGTATGATTCTCTATATATGTGTAAATTCTCTATAGATGTGTAACTTATATGGAAAAAAGAAGTGAAGTTTCAATCTCTCTGATCGTATTCGGCTTAACCTTACGTGAAAAAAGTTTGAAATATGGTATATTATCATTTTCATGTTCAGTCTCTCTTATCGTATTCAGCTTAACCTTAGGTGAAAAATGTTTGAAATATGGTATATTATCACTTTCATGTGTTTTATTTCAAACTACTATCCAATTGTATTCAAATGTTGATTTCTAAACGGTCGTAAAATCCGCAGAAGGAGACAAATCCAATTTTGGTATATCTAATATCTGGTTTATTGCCTTTAACACGCTAATTAAGGACTCTTGAACAAGTTTAGAATTCTTTTGAAGTCTAGAATTATTAGTTACAACTTAAAAGCGACACACAAATCAATGTGACTGTGTCCCAACTTCCACGTGACCCAGAAGCAAAATAGATCCCACTAATTGATGTGTATTATTAACTTGATAATGGTAAATTTTGGTAACCATTAGCAATAAGGTAGAACCGTGGAAGTGGTCCACTTTCATCAAACGTTAACTATATATGTGGAATGAGCAGTAATGTAATGTGCAGCCAATAAGAATTGTATGTAGAGCCATGTTTGATAACCTTCAATTACTTAGTGACAATATATAGTATCCATAAATTAACCATGGACCATGGTTATTTGTTTTGTTTGGGATGGAATATTGGTACAGTAGTGTTTATCACTGAAAGGTTGTTCTGCCATCCTCATAATTCCAATCAAATTTTATCCATAATTAAATGTATCAATGGAATCTATGACAATATTTTGTATAAAAAACAAATCGTTTGTTCGGAGGGGATTCAAAGTAGAACAGGTCTATATATAGGAGTCGATAAAACTGATTGATGCAACAAATCAATTTTACTTGTAATACTATTAAGTTAAGACAAACGTTATGGAGGAAATCCAGTTATATATATGTCATATTTATGATAAATTTATAATTTATTTAAATACTTTATCTTAATTAGTTTTGAAATGTGCAACCATGTCATTTCCTCAATAAAAATACTTTTTTGGAGGTTGGTTAAAGAGTAATGGACTAAAACTCATACATTTCCCCATTAGACTTATAAAAATAAATCTCCCAACCAAAATTGATTAGTTTCTGTAATCGTTTTCTTTTATGTTAACGACAATAAAATCATCTACGTTTGGAAATTAAGGATTTGTTCGTCGGTTTTCCTTAATGTTGTGTCACGTGATCCTTCCAAAGAAATGTGTTGTCAAAGTGTTTCTAAAAAACATCGCAAGAAGTTATGTGTTAACCATTGTTCAAAAGATTAAAAAGTTGTATGTTAACCATATTCTGTGTAATTTTTGGATGATAAAACCAACAACGCTTTTATGTTGGTTTTTAATTTCGATATAAAACAATTTGTTATTGTTAGAATGATGAGTTTTACATAATTTTGGTTATTAAAAAACAATTTATATTTGAAGGTTTTTTCTTTTTCGAAACCATTTTTTTTTTAAATCGATGTAACATATTATTTTTGATTGGTCATCTTTTGTTGGTGACTGGCCATGGGTTTGACATCGGAACTAAAGAACATTATTGAGAATATGGTGGTGATAGTAATAGCTTTCGTCTGAGAGAATGTGCTCCGCTTTATGTGGCATTATCCGACTAACTTGTAATAAATGGTTGATTCTATGGATAATTAGCAAAATATTTTGTTTAAGATTTTAAATTTGAAAATTCATTATTTTATTAATCTTTTAAATATTACATTTATTTCTATGTAATAGGACCTTTTTAACATTTGACAAAAAAACCTTTTTAACCTGATTTAGATTAGAAATTACACACAATAAATACATAAAAAATTAGAGATTATTAATATTATAATTATTAGATTTGAGAGAATCTATATATATATAATTATATAATATTTCAATATTTATAATTGAATAACTTTTGAAATATTTGAAAATTTATCTATAAGAAAAAATCATTTTGATGATAAAACTTTTCTTCTTAAAACTCTTTAAACATACTTATTAAGCTGCTTTTGAAGTAAAATCCTTTTTGTCGAGCATGAAGTTTTCAAAAGTTGGATCTTAAACAAACTTAATAAAAGACCAAATCAAACGATATATTACCTGCCACGTTTGTTCCAAAATAACTCATAACCTCGTGTCAAACTTAAAATGTAATATAGTTAAATCTGTTAAAGAAGAGTTATTATATAGTCAAATAGACCTAATGAAAGCAAAATCTTCTATGGTGCTTTGTTCTAAGTCCCCGTCTGAAATTCTACACTATCACACATATCTAAGTAAGTTTTCTCTAAAAAAAATCAAAATTTTCTTATTCTATCCACAAGTGAATCCATAATGTTCCAAAGATTAAATGATTGTGGCTAAGAATGATACATATATATATATAGTAATGTGTATTCATGTACTCAAACTGTTTAGTACCACTCTGTTCGTTTGATAGGAAAGACTGAATAGTACTTTATCTCCCACCTTTCTAAATCTTTTATCACACATTGATGATGTCGTATCTTAATCACTTGGAAATGGATTATGATCTCTCCTTTTTAGCTTGGTATATGTTGTGTTATGTTCAATGGTTTCCTTGCTTCAACGTCCATTCTATAAATCATATTTGATTTATATGCTATCTGGGAATAATTTCCTGCATTATCTAATCATCCTAATTGATTTAGGGATTGTAACATATATATATATATATATATATATATATAAACAGTGATTAATCAAAGAAATGATTGTCTATGCAAATGACATATATGAGATTAAAAAACAAAAGACCTGAAAACATAAAACGGAAACAATCAAACAAGATCAAACACAAAATGAATTGAAAACCTTTTATAAAATCACAATATAATTGTACAAAGAGTGGGCAAAAAACTAATTTCCTTTATATAAAATGAAAAGTTTTCTAGCTCTGTGGGCAATTCTTCTATTTGGTTTTTTATTATATTTATGATTTTTCTTTTTATTCATACTCAGTTTTCTTTTTAATATTTGAAGCCCAATGTTCACAAACGAGTTAGACGTGACAGTTCTAGATCGGAAAATTCGCAGTAACAGATCCCGACCTTGATATTAACAAAAAGAATGAGAGATAGCAAAAAATACAATGGTTGAGAAAACAACGGTTGAGGCTTTAATTAATTGGCAGGTATTTATATAATGTTTTTTTTTTCTGCTACCAACAAAGGCAATCATATTTTTGGACATGCCTATCAACTGTTGTAAGTTAATAAAAATTTCTGCTCTGTTTAACTGAAATTGAACCAATTTGTTTCATGATTAGTGTCTCTTGATTTGTTGTCATTTGTTGATGTTATGGGTCTCATTCTTGTCTGATATACACCTGATGATTGAGGCTTGTACTGCAAGAAAAATACTGGACACGTCGCCTGGCTAATGTTAATGGCCGAATCAACCAAATATGTTGTCATTTGTGAAAGGGGCAGTTCCTGGTGAATGCATTAGTTTCAGTTCCTGGTTCAAGGCAGAATGATTTCTTATTCTTGCTCAATTAGTTGTACACTGCTTCATCCACTTAGTCTTTTGTAATTTAAAAGAAAATTCAAACTGTAAGCTTCCGAATTTCAAAGCCATAACTTAAGAAGACCACAACTTCTACAACACATTTGCTTGATACGAGGTTGCCTTGAAGAGAATAGAGACGAGTGGTTGCATTCTAGTTTTACTTCGGGTTTAAGCTCATGGATTTGATGCAACAAAAGGAACAATGGTACTTGTTCGCCATGGACCTACTGCAGTAATCACAAGCCAAAAATATTCATGAATTAGTTAATTTGTTATCAGAAACAAGAATCAATAACAAGAGCAAGTTTAACCTACTTGTTCAATTAATTTGATACGAGCATATACATTTGACTCATGCAACCATCACACCCATTATAGATGCTAGTTTCGCGATCTCTTACTAGCCGAATTCCTTGAAAGAAACATCCATCGAATCCCAACGCCTTCTCATAACCTTGGCCGTTTTTCATATTGATGAAAGCGAATCTGTTTTCTTTTTTAAAAAGCCAAACTTCAGCTCACATTTACGTTGATCGAGCTGTCACAAAGTAAGAGGAAGGAGTCACCAACCCTATGGCAGAACCGGTATTAGAATCCATGGGAACAGAAAGCTTTGTCATCACTCCACATGATCCGAACAAATCACTCAACATTTTCTTATTTTCATCTTTAGGATGCAAACGTTCGAATCCCTTGACGAAATTGGTATGTTCATTGTGACCCTCCTCTAGTGTACAATCATAACAGAGGAAATCTTTCAGCTTCGGCATTGGCTATATAGACAAAAGCACACAAAAAATTAGAATTAAAGAGCGATAAAATGTAATGTTTCAAAATATAGCAGCTACAAACAAACAAAGTCAATAGTAAATACTCATAGAAAAATAAGAAACATATATACCTCACAGGCATAACAGGGAGGATAAATTGCTGTATTAGTTTCTCATGTATCAAAAATTGTAATAATGTATCAAAATTCTCAAACCCACGAAACAAATACAAACAAAGAAGCCAAGATGAAAAGAAAAAAACAAAGACCTTCAATGAAATCTCCTGTAGATATTTGGTGAATAAATTTTCCGGTAGTTGCTTTCCAGCTTCAGTCAGTTCTTTGATAGATTTCGACATTTCAATGATTTCCTGCCATATGGAGTAAAAGCAACGATTAAGATAACCAATTTTCTTAATATACAGCTTTTAACATTAAGCTTCTATATATTATTTTCTCTTGAATTTTTTAATTTACAACATAATGAATATAGACTACTTGGTGATAAATAAGCAAAAATTAAACTGTAGGTGCTTACGTTTTTCGGGCCAATTTTGTCATCTTCATCAACTTTCTACAAAAAAAATTATCAAGCAAAGAAACACAGTTATTGTAAGAAAAAACATGAACATCATAACGAAGGAAAGAATAAAAACAAGGCTTACTTTCTTAGACTCGGAGGCATCAGATTTGAGTTTTGAGGCAAGAGACGAGTTAATCCAGAGTCAAAATTATATAAGCGCGGCTACTAGGTTTATGTATGCTGATTATAATAATTCTATATGAATAATGTTAAAAAAAAAGTGCACGCCTAATTATTTAAGTTCTAATATTTTTAATTAACTAATTAACAATTTTATCTTTTATTCCAGGAAATAGAGATTTTTTTCAACTTTCTATCTCGACGACAAACAACAATTTCCCTAATTTTTGTCATGAAGTTGAATCTGCATCTTAGTTTTTAAGGATTTTCATGCTGATTATGGATTCTGAATTCTTAGCTAAGAATATGTGTGACAGGTTGCTGAGAATATAATCATAATAGAGTTTTTTTTGCATCTAAATGTTTAGGAACCCTGAAATTAACACATTAGGTTAGTTTTCATGATTTGTCTTATTAGGTTCTGTTAGAGGGGAAATGAGCACATTTTCTAAAAGACATTTCTCACAATAACCTAAGTCCATCAAGATCAAGAAGACCGTACCGATCTAGCTCGGACTTAAGCAAATCCCTCAAGGATAATATTTGAAAATCAAAAACATCGTATTAATCCAAAGAATAAAGGAAAATTTCCTTACTTCTCGGAGAATAAATGATATTTCTATATATGTGATATAGAAATATACACAAATGCAAAAAGGAAAAAGAGTTCGGAGCAACCGACCTCCCATCCCTATAAATAAAGAGGATCCGAAAGCCAAGAAAGACAATTCATACAATCTAGAGAGCAATAGAGCTAAAACTAGAGACTCCAACGCTTTCTAGTTTACTTCGCAAACCTTCTTTTCACTTCGGCATAACCTCTCGGTTATCCCATTCTTTGTAATCGCTTCGCCTTATTACTAATAATAAAAGACTTTATTCTCCGAAACTTACAACTATTAATCAAACCCTAGTGATGATTTTCTAGTTCAACAATTGGCGCCGTCTGTGGGGACTAGGAGAATAAATTCTTAAAAAACCAAGTAAGAAAGCCGAAGCGATGAGCCTCCCCGTCAACGACAGTGATCTCATCCACGATGACACCACTCACATCGAGACACCTGCTCTCGGTGAACATATGAACGTCACTACCGCGAATCCACCCGCGGGAGCACCCCCAGCTCCCCTCCATGCGGCTGACCTCGCAGCAGCTATCCAGGCCGCCATGCAGCCACTCACTCAGGATTTGGTGTCAAAACTAGGCACCCTCAGCAAGCCAAATATGATGAGCAACTCAGCGCTTTCGCAGCCGCGACAACCGCAAGATCAGAGCCGACCGGGCGACGTTTGATCTTCGAAACACCAATGCAAAACAACACCCGGAGTACAGCAGCCGACGAAGAGGAGCCCTCTGGCGAACTAAATTCCGAGATCGCAAGGCTTCATCAGCGAATCAACGCGATCGGGTCCCAAGTCCATCGAGCCACCAGCTCGGCGCCCGAGATCTCAGCCATTCTCTCAGATGCAGAACGCAATCCATTCGCTCCACGGATCACCGATGTCCGACTCGGCGAGGCAATAAAACTGAAGCTCCCATACTACAACGGGATGGAGGATCCCAACCTATGGCTGACCGGATATAACGTCACCATGAAGAGGCAACGATTCGAGACTGACCTCGAACGAGTGATATATCATGGTTTTTATGGTTTTTAACCATGATATAAGTCCTTTTTATTGAGTCTTTTTGGTCTTTTTAGAGTCCTAGAAGAGTCTTTGCAGGTTATAGCATGTCTGGAGCATAATTGGAGATTTTGGAACCTTATGGAGCATTCTGAGTTGAAGCCACGAAGTACCTAGCTCGAAGAAGAAAAGTATGCATATGGGTGACGCTCGTCACCAATTTGGTGACGCTCGTCATCCAGAAAGGAAGGGGTCGTGGCTGTTTTCTAAAATATAGAGGATTATTTGCAGTTTTAGCCTAAAAGTTCCAGTATTTGCAAACAGGCCCCAGATCGTGTTTTAGCTTGTATATTAGGTTTTTCAGCCATTCTTTTGGCAGATATCTTGTATCTTATTATTTTTGAGAGCTTTTGGAGAGACAAATCAGACTCCTTCAGAGCAGATTTTGAACTCCTTTATTTCTACTTCTTATTTCTTTTATGCAATCTATTCTTTTCATGATGTTTTCTCAAATCACCATGTATGAGTAGTTTGTTAGTTAAGTTAGGGCTTTTCAAAGGTTGAAAAAGAGTTTGTAGAATTGCTAAACTATTAGGAAAATTCAGTGGTTCTTCATCTGTGCTTGCATTCATATCGATTTCTTAGACACATCTACTAGGAATTCGAAACCCTAGGTTGTTTGATAGATGTGAGAGCATTATTAATCACCTGAACTAGTATTAGATGAGCAAAACGCCCTAGTACAAAGAGATTTGGCTTAGGAGTTTTGTGAACAATTGAACCTGATCATTACTGCATGTTTAGGTTGTTAGGGTTTGCAAAGAGATTTGAAACTCTGTGATTTAGACATAGATAACTTCTGCAATGAGAATTGATTAGTTATATCTTTGCGATTCATGTTCAAGACGGTTTTAATTCATTCCTGATTGCATGCATTCTACACTCTCGGATTCAACCTGCGAACTGTCCTGACTTAGCGTCTTTAGCCTTCTGAACTTTAAGAACAAGCATAAAAACGCCCTTTTGCATTTATTTTACTGTTTTGCATTACATTTATTATTTATCGCTTAGCTTAATCTGAATCTATAATCGCTAGTGTGGTTTACATACTCCCTTGGGATTCGATAACCCCTTGTACTACAACTGCTTTTCCTGTGCACTTGCAGTAGTTTTATTTGGGTAAAACCTGACCCTATTAACGAGAAGCCAATAACTGCCAAACCTTTGTTGAACACCTCAACAAAGACGCTTTGAAGTGGTTCTCTAACCTACCCCCGGCCTTGATCAAATCCTTCAAGGATATGACTCACGCCTTCATCAAACATTATTCCATATTCATCACGAAGAGAACGGTGAACCTATTCACCCTAGTGCAAGAGCGCGACCAACCACTTCGCGACTTCATCAAAAAATTTAAGAACGCCGCTGCGGCATACAGGCAAATCCCTCAAGCTTTAGCCATCGAGGCACTCATGAACGGTCTGTGGTATGAATCTTCTTTTAAAGAAGATCTACAGAAACACCCGAAAGAAACCATAGAGGACGCACTTCATCGGGCCCAGACCTTCATACGAATGGAGGAGGAGAAAATATTCTATGCTAAGAAACACGGTTTGGACACGTCAAGCACTTCAAAGACAAAGAGCCCGCGAATAAAAGCAAGCCCTCCTCTCATGCTGTCGTAGCAACCACAGAGAAGCCCTGCATCAATGGGCCTTAGGAGACCCCTCAAGGAGCACAAGCGATAGGGACGATAATCACGACCTCTACTGCTCCTTTCACGGACGAACAGGACACGCTACTTCGGCATGCCGACACCTCCACAATACGCTGTATGAACAATACAAAGAAGGCAAAATCAACATCGGAGGTGATCGATCCCGGAGTAAAAGCTCCTACTCACGCAGGGACTCGCGTCAATCTACTTCCACCTGGGATCGCAGGGATCCGGGAAAAAGCAGCAATCGAGGCAGTTCTCGAGGAAGGCGCCGAAGTCGCACGCCCGAAAGAAGACACGAAGAAAAGGAGAAGGAGAAGGGAGCAGAGCGTCAGAACGACGAAGGAGAACACGAAAACCCGCCTCCTCCACCAAAGCGACGGGTTAATATGATCATGGGAGGACTCCCCGACTGCGATGACTTGGTCCATGCCATCAAAGAGTATGGACAAAAAGCAGTCGCATCGCGAAAATTCCCTCACCCCGTGGTCTATCACCCTACGATCACCTTCACATCGAAGGACATGCACGGGTTACACACCCCGCATAACGACCCACTGGTGGTCGAACTACATATCCACGACAGCGAGGTTACCAAAATTTTGGTGGACACCGGCAGCACGGTCAACATCATCTTTAAAGATACGTTGACTAAGATGGGATTCCAGGACAAAGACATCAAGGCAGCGCCGAAGCCTTTAACTGGCTTTGCTAGTGAATCTTTCTTCAGCCTCAGCACCATACAACTCGCGGTCTATGCCAGAGGCGTGACAAAAATCGTTAAATTTACGGTGATGGACAAGCCAGCAATCTACAATGCCATACTTGGCACACCGTGGATCCACGAGATGAAGGCAATTGTGTCGACTTATCATCAATGCATGAAATTCGTCACTTCGGCCGGAGTCTTCACGCTTTG